GGTAGGATCCGGAAGGATTTGAATTGTGGAAAAGAATTCAAAACAAGATAGTCTTTACACATCTCGACACATTAAATTTATCACCACCCCATACTAACGGTTTTTTATCACCCCGAAATTGATAGGTTTCTACAAGTCGTCTCAATCAGGTGAAAGTTTAAAAAACAGAGAAAATTAAAATTATATACTGGTCAATAAGATATACAGAAACGTGTTTTTCAGTTGCTTTGGCCATTTTCAGGAGCTCGGCTGCCAAGTGTCGGATCACTTTGAAAACATGGGAGGTTATGAAACAGACCTAGACTTCAAACTTTGCACTTACAAAATTTTTTGAAAATTCCTAGTTTTTCAGCTATCTACCAATTTCTGAAGGACACCCCTTTGTTTTGTACTGAAAACGTGAAAAACAGCAGGTGTCCTTAAAAAATTCAAAAATAGCTGAAAAAGTAAAACTTGCGCGGGAATTCCAATTCTTTTTTTTTTCAACGCCGTTTTTCGGGGATTTAGGATTTTTTTTGAATTTTTTCGCAATAATATTAGGAAAATACATATTTTTTGAAACATTTTAGGGTAATAAAAATTTTTGGTCGGAGTCCCCCTTTTTTGAATTTTCCATGTTTCAACGTTTTTATCGCTTTATTCTGCTTGAAAATTAACTTTTTTGCAGTTTTCTCTATAGAGCGCACTTGCATTACTTGAAACTTCAAAAATTCTCATTGGAGCGCACCTTAACACTTCCACTCGTCTTCAAATTCGCTAAATTTCGTTTTGTGAGCACATTGAGCAGTGTGGTTTTTCCGGCACCACTTGGTCCGATGATAGCCGTCACTTCGCCGGGACGAGCCAATCCGAAGACTGCAAAAATATTGATTTATCGATTTTTCTTTTCAATTTAGGTTGAAAATGGCCGATTTTTCAGATTTCTTAAAATTTCTAGGTGTACAAATTGATAAAACCATTTAGAATAAGTCAAGAATGCCTGAAAAGGGTCAAAAATTGAAAAAAATGATTTTTTCGAAATTTTAACCTACCATTATCCAAAATCCGCTTTTCCACTGATAATCTCTCGATATCACTGACTTTTTTGGTGCAACAAGACCGGAAAAGTCCTCCTTTTTCAATGCTTTCAGCCTCTTTTTCGTCCTGAAATTTTAAATTTGGGATTTGGCGGGAATTCAAAAATTACCGCTACTGAGACATCGTGCCATGTGAGCAACATCTTCGGACGCATTTCTTCGATGAACTGGAAACAAATTTTATTTAAAAAATTTTTGAAAAAAAAATATGAAATTTACCGATTTATCAATGTCAGAGACGGAATCCGCTAGGGTCATTGATTCTATAGAGCCTCGAATTAAGTTAGTTTTGAGCATTTTTAGCTGAAAATTGGGAAATTTTAAGGGAAATTTTAAGGGAAGTTGATTGAAAATAGATTTTTAAAAAAGAAAAAAAATTTTCGAGATTATAATTTCAAATTCGCGCCTCTTTTCGGCAAGGCGCGGTCCGCAAACACCGCGACGCAAACTCGCGGAAATTGATATAAAACGAAATTTAATGAATCATCGAAGAAAAATCGGGGTTTAAATGATAAAAAGTATAGGGAAAAGGAATAAAAAATCATGTGAAGAAGAATAAAGACAAACAAAAAATGAATCGAATTGATTATTATACACTACGGGGTCTCCTCATCAACGGAGCATATAGATGACGATAGTGATAAGAGAAATGCTTATCATCCAAATTGTCCAACCCGTTGAAGAAATTTTCCCCATCAACATACAATTTTTTTCTCTTAAAAATCGGAAAAAGTTGTTTTTTTTTGAATTTAAAAAATTTTTAAAAAATTTTTCAAATGGAAGAAAGCCAAGAATCCAACTTTTCCCTATCCAAATATGATGGGTAAGTCAGATTACTGCAGTTCCAGCAAATTCAATGAGGAATTTTCCCAAAAAAAATATTTGTTTTTCTTTTTTTCCAGCACCGAAGATGGGTCGTTGAGCCAATACATGTCAATAAATGTAAGTATTGATAAGATAATGGTCCTAAAGTTCACTGATAAGATAATTCAGGATTGTGAGCGGGAAATTCAAATGTTGGAGAGAGACATTCGGCAGCAGAAAGAGTCCAGTGCCAACGCAAAGACGTCGATAACGTTCGACCAGCTGCGCAAAATTCACTCGTATGTGTACGCCCTCCACCTCTTCCCTCCTTGACGCGCCTTGATAGCTCAGTTGGGAGAGCGTTAGACTGAAGATCTAAAGGTCACCAGTTCGATCCTGGTTCAGGGCAATTTGTTTTTTAAAATTTTTTAGAGATGTGCAAATGTTTTTAGGGCTTTCTTGGTGTTTAGAATGCGGTTTTTTGCTTTGGCTAGAAAATTGGCTTAAATTTTTCCATTTTCTGAGAATTCAAAAGTTCGAAAATTCAAAAAATCGAAAATTCTAAAATTCTAAAATTCTAAAATTCTAAAATTCTAAAATTCTAAAATTCTAAAATTCTAAAATTCTAAAATTCTAAAATTCTAAAACTCTAAAACTCTGAATTTCTGAAAGTCTGAAACTCTAAAATTCTAAAATTCTAAAACTCTAAAACTCTGAAATTCTGAAATTCTAAATTTCGGAAATTCTAATATTCTGAAATCCAAAATTTCAGACTCTCCACTATGTTGGGACCTCACAAGGAACAATTTTTCGAGCGCATATGTCGTGTAGCTGAAATTCAAAGAGCATCATTGAAAAATCGGTTGAAATCGAATATAAATGTAAAATTTTATTTTTTGAATTTCAAAAAAAAATGAAAGAATTCCAGAAATTCGAGCCGAGCACTCCTTTATCCTTCACTCAAGCCACTTTTGACTCTTCTCAAAATTCCTTATCGGCATCTGAAAGTCAAAGTTTTGTGGTGACGCCAACGACACTACATAACCTCTTCAACCACCAGGTAAGACGTCTTTAAAGGCGCATAACTCAAAAAATAAGTTAGCTAGGGATGGGGGGTTGCCTGACGTTTTATGAGCTACATTTTTGCAGTTTAAACTGTTTTCCTAACTCTAATAATTTTTGAGATATGCGTCTTCAAAATTGAGGCACACCACACAAAGCGCGCATCAACTTTAAAGACGTATAACTGAAAAACTATGATAGTTATGTCAGTTTTGTAAACTAGAAAAATAGGAAACATAAAATTTTACACAATTCGTTAGTTAACAAGCTAAAACAGTTTTTGAGAAATGTGTCTTTGAAGTTAAGACCCCACCCAATGCGCTCACAAACACTAAAGACGATTATCTCAAAAACTACAATAGCTACGCAAAAGTGGTTAATTAAAAAGTTGTGAAAATTTTATGATCTACATTTTTGCAATTAAAATTAGTTTTCTAGCTGCTGTATTTTTTGAGATATGCGCCTTTAAAGTTGAGGCACCTAATAAGGACCGCTTCCCAAAGCACGCGCCAACACTGGAGGCGCATATCTCAAAACTACAATAGCTAACAACATTTTGTAAACTAACATAATATGAAAAATTTAATGCTCTACATTTTCGAAATTTCAATTTCCAGAGAAAAAACCAAATAGAAATGTTGGCTCCATTGGCATCCGAAGAGGAACTGATGAGATTTCCAGCTGAACGACAATTCGATTTAATGCAAATTGGATTTAGTTATGATGAAGTCAAGCAGCTACTTGAAATGTTTGATAAGTATAAAAATGATGTGCAAGAGATGAGCAGACATTCGTCTTTGACACAGGTAGGTTTAGAAATAAAAATCAGTTTTGTCTGAGGCGCTGTAACACAGCAAACAAAATAGAAATTCAAAAATGGTCAATTACAAAAGCTTAAAGCATAAAATTCTTCATATTTTGTTAGTTATTAACTTCTACATAGCTCTTTTAGTTTTTGGGATATGCGCCTTTAAAGGTGGGGGGACATGAAAAAAATAATGTTCTCGAAATTTCGTTCAAAGATGCCCCTCGAGGAGTTGAACTTGTGAGGGCGATGATTGAGGGTGCGGCGCCGCTACCGACTGAGCCACGCGGGCAAAGAGAAAGCGCACGCCCGATTGCATACATAAAGGCGAGGACGACAGCTGTACGCAGAGTGACATTAAGCGTTGTACACCGTCACGGTAGAATGCATACTCTAGCTACAAAAAAAAACTACGAAAAATCTCCTGTCCCTCCACCTTTAAAGCGGCACCGTTTCTCGGGATAGTCGTAGGCGCATAGCGCGAAAACGGAAACTTTATCAAAATATAGGAAATTTCATGCTCTACAGTTTATTAATTGACCACTCTTGATAGCTACTTATCTTTCTGAGATATGCGCATTTAAAAAGACACCGCTAGTAGGGCGGCCAGTCTGAGCTGCCTGGTTGCACACACCAACTTTAAAGGCCCCTAGCTCAAAAACGGTGTGAGTTATCAAATTTTTGTTAACTAACAAAATGTGTAAAATTTCATTTTCTACATTTTCGCAGTTAGCATTTTTTAGAAATCTCTCCTCCTTCAAAAGTTACTGTCTCTTCTTTAAGTTAAGTCTCTTTCAGGTCCTCAACCAATTCTGCAACTACATCTCAATGTACGCTCCACCGAACTTGAAACTAATTTCTTTGGCGTTTAATTTATTGGAGTTGGGAAATTCAGCAAATGAAGTAAAGAGAGTTTTGCTGAAAGCGGTAAGTTCTGGAATTTTGGAATTCTGGAAATATCTGAAAATCTAAATTTCCAGCGACGTCGTGAAGAATCTGAAGAATCTGATTTGGCTCCATTCGCCAAAAAAATGTGTAACCTTGAATCGGAGTCTTCTCCAAATCGAGATGAGCTTCTTTTGGGCCTAGATCGCTCCCCGCCCAGTGATGATGGCACACAGAAAATGTGAAAGTGCGCTCCATTGATAATTTTTATTTATGTATTCTTTTTTCTTGAATTTATTTATAATCTACAATTCATTTATTATTACAAAAACCGGTAAGCTCGAAATACAACATGCAGTTTTTTGGGAATCAAAAGAAATATGAAAAGAATATAGAGTGCGATACAAAAAAAACACGAGACCTACAAAAATCCAAGGTACTTTTCTTGCAAAAAAAAATACTGAGAAAATGGAAAAATCTATAAATAATCGATTCCAGAAGATTCTAGAGTTTTGTTGCCATTATAAACATGACACCTTCGCCGTCCAAAACGTATTTTTTGGCATTTGGAATGTCGAGACCAACGGAAACCAGCGCGTCGAGAATCATTTGTTCACGAAGGTTGAGCAGGTGAAAGATGGTCTGCAAAACTTTGAGATTATCTTGGAAACTAAAAAAGCTACAGCAACAATTTTAACTGCAAAAATGTAGAGCTTAAAATTTTACACAATTTGTTAGTTGATAATTTTTGTGTAGCTAACTTAGGTCTTGAGATATGCGCCTTTAAAGTTAAGGCACAGGGACGATCTGCCAACCAAAGCCAACTTTAAAGACGCATATCTCAAAGGGGACAAAATCTTTTTAAATTTTGTGAACAAACGAAATGTGTAAAATTGTATGCTTATCAATTTTCTAGTTTGTAACTTATTAATAACTTTTTTTTGTTTTCGACATATGCGCCTTTAAAGCGACACCGCGACTAGGACGGCTAGTCGATGCTGCTTGTTTGCGCTCGCTTTCTTTAAAGGCACATAGTTCAAACACTAATAAAATTTTCTGAAAACTCTCTATTGACAAAATGTGTAAAATTGTATTTTTATTAATTTTGTAGTTTGCTGTTTTCTCTAGCCTCCATAGCTTTGGAGATAGAGGCTTTTAAAGTCGGCGCGCGCAGTTGGTTCCGTCCCTCTAATTAGATACCTGAACTTTAAAGGCGCATAGCTTCAAAACTAATAAAGCTACACAAAATTTGTAAACTAATACAATAGAGAGCATAAAGTTTCCTACATTTTGTCAGTTGACAATATTTTTCTAGCTTTCTCGGTTTTTGAGATATGCGCCTTTAAAGAGCCACAGCCGTTCCGACGGTAACTGTGAAGGAGCATAGCTAAAATAGCTTTCTTGACTTTTGGAACTTTTTAGAATATTTCTAATCATCGAGTCTTAAAAATTGTAAAAATTTCTAGATAAAAATTTTTGAGCTATGCCGCATAGTTTATGCGCCTTTAAAGTTTACCACCCCAAAACCACCCCAAATATCAGCTTCTCTTTAAAGGCGCATATCTCAAAAGGCACCAAAGCTATCAAAAAGTTGTAAACTAACAAATTATATAAAAATTCATAATCTACATTTTTGTAATTGACTTTTTCTTAATAGCTCTTCTTGTTTTTGAGATATAGCTATTTGCACTTAATTGTGCGAATCCTCATTTCTTTGCAAACCAAAACGTTCGTCATAAAATCAACAAAAAGGAAAGAAACAAACGGTGACTATTATATCTGCGGGATATCTTTTTCACAGATTGACGCAATCGCTTTTGACCTTTGGATGTGCTCTCTCCTACTCAATCGCAAAGATCAACACAATGAGATCAAATTTCGTAAAGTTCTGGGAGATTTTAGAAGGTTCTAGAAGGAACCGGAATGATTCTAGAGCCAGTTTGAAGTCTCTAAAGCAGTCAGAATTTTTAAGAAAATTCCAGGAGATATCAGAAAACTTTCAAAGGTCTTAAAATGCTTCTAGAGCCACATTGAAGCCTCTAGAACAGTTTAGAACCTTCTGGAACCTTTTATAACTTTCTAGAAACTTCTTGAGCCAATTTAAAGCTTCTTATAGCTGAAATAATCCCTCACCTGTCTCCCTGAGTTGTACTCATTGTCCTCGAGCACCGATCCCAAGACAAAACGGCCACCCGAACGCAGATGTCTCATCTGAAATCAATAAAACAACACATTTTATTCATCCAATTTTCCCCGAAAATTTTATTGTCTTTTTTTCGGACACAAAAGACGAAGAGAGACTCTTTACACTTCTCTTTTTTTCCTCAATTTTCATTGGCAAGAAACAGATGTCTTCTTTCTTTTCTTTTTTGTTGTAAAGAGGAAGCGAACAGAAGAAAAATTGAGATAAGAGAGAAGGAATAGATGGATCAGATTGCACTACGGTCGAAGGTTAGATCTTCAGGCCGCGGTCGACCAAAATTGTTTAGCTTGAAATTTCACAACATTTGTATGGTGAAAAATTTTGCTGTTGACCATATTTTGGTAGAGTTCTTGGTTTTTGAGATATGCGCCTTTAAAGTTATCGGGATAGAGAAGGGTCGCAACAGTGAAACGGCGCGCGCCAACTTTAAAGGCGCATATCTCGAGTAGGGGCAAAGTTATCATAAAGTTGTAAACTGCAAAAATGTGTGAAATTTTATGTTCTACATTTTAGTAGTAAACAACCTTTTGATAGAGTTTCTGATTTTTGAGATATTGAGCTTCAAACAAAATGAGTTTTTATTGAAATGTCAGAAAACTCCAAGAAATTTAGGAACACCTGGGAATTCCAAAAGTTCAGAAATTTAAGAAGGAATGAGGTACTTTATAATTTTCAACAAAACTCAAGATTTCACAGTTTCCGAGATATTCTAAGATTCTGAACTTTCATAAAATTTAAAGATTCTGAATTTCCAATGAGAACATGAAAACGGCGTTCTTGAAGTAAAAAAATTGAGACGCTGTAGCTCGAAAAGTAAAATAGGTATTCAAAAATTGTTTTATAAAATTGTAGAGCATAATATTTTACACATTTTGTTAGTTTACAACTACTGTGTAGCTGGTTTAGTTTATGAGATATGCGCCTTTAAAGTTGATGCGCGCTTGAGAGTTGTGGTCAGTCCCCTTATTAGGTGCATCAACTTTAAAGACGCATTTCTCAAAACTACAACGGCTACAGAGAAATTATTAACCTACAAAATGTGTAAATTTTTATGTTAAACAACATTGTAACTAACAATTTTAGCGTGGCTGTTTCAGATTTTGTGTTATGCGCCTTTAGAGGAACACCTCCGCATTCCCCAGTCGAAGCTGCCTTTGAGCACCCTCCAACTTTAAAGACGCGTAGCTCAAAAACTAAGACAGCTATGCCAAAATAAATAAATTACAAAATGTGTAAAGTTTTGTGCTCTACAATTTCTTTCTTGATCATTTTTTCCGAGATTTTCTAGTATTCGATCTACCGAAAGAATTTCCAACCTACCATGTTTGCAACACATTTACAGTACTCCTCATAGTTCCGGCAGGCACTCTCCAGGGTAAAAATGGACACAAGGATATCAACTTGTTTTCCATTTAACTCTGGAACCACAACATCCTGATGGACATCGGCAAAATGAATTCCACCAGATTTCACCAATCCTCTCGCTTTTTCTTCAACTTCATCACAAACTTTTTCTGTGGGGACTGGTCCTCCTTCCGTTCTTTTAATCACTTTAATTGTTGGAACCCAATCGATTGTTTCTTCTCGACGGACCCATTTTCGAAGGACGTCTAAGTTTCTATCCACAAAATCGGAGAGATGGACTCGTTTAATGACGTCACGGAAGCAAAGAGCCGCGTAGACGGTTGGACCGGCGCCAATATCCAAAAGGGTTTCTCTTTCGGATGGACGCATTGTTTGGAGCATTAGTTGAGCAAAAACGGGAAGGGCGAAGAGGGAAACACGGGTTCCGTCTTCAATGGCGTCTCTGAAAAATTTCGAAATTCGATTATTTGCCCATTTACCGTATTTTCTCACAACCCCGTGTCGTCAATTTTGAGCTCAATTATCTCGATTCCAGTGAAAGATATCAAAAAGCTGTCAACTGATAAAATATTGGTGATATTGTGATAAACATTTTATCCGTCGACCACTTTTTTATATATTTCACAGAAATCAAGCTAAATTGAGTCAAAGATGAAAAGTCGGCGCTTGCCAGCTAAGCTATTCGGTGGGCTACCGACCTCATAAGTTTACGCCAAGTTGTCTCGGCAACTGTAATAGTTATCAAAAAGTGGTCATCTGATAAAAATTTTATCAATTTATCAATAATATTTTATCAGTTGATCACTTTTCGATATCTCCTAGAGTAATCGAGATAAATTGGCCAAAGTTAAAGTTTCTAATTTTTCCTAATTTTTTTGTGTGCTAGACTCCGCAGACCGTTCTTCCTCTTCCACTTGACAATGATTTTCCAAAACCAAAAAAAAAACAAAGTTTAGAGTCTAAAACCGAGAAACCAAGGCTCAATGATGCACACACTTCGCAGTTCTTATCTCTTTTTTCGAAAAAAAAAACGACCTGTCGAAAAATGTAACTGATATCCTTTAGACACAGCAAATCGAGATATTGTTTGTTTTGGTTTTTTGTGAGAAATGAGAGGAAAAAGAGAACGGACAAAAAAGAGCAAACCACTTGGTGATTTTGTGTCAAAACTATCGAAATTTTGCGAAAAACGAATAGAGGTCAGACAATTAAAAATTCAAAAAAGTGCACTGTAACTTTGAGCCCATTTATCTCGATATCGGTGAAAAATATCAAAAAATGGTCAACTGGTAAAATGTTTATCATAATATCACCTATATTTTATCAGTTGACCACTTTTTGATATAGTGTACAGTAACCCAGATAAATTGCATCAAAGTAAAAGGCGTTGGCACAAAAATTGTCACTCAACCAGTTTTGGACCAGAATTTTGAAAATCGAGATTTTTTACAATTTTGTCATTTTTAGCAGTTTTAAAACGTTTGGTTGCAAAATTTCCCATCAAATTCATGAGTATTAAAAAACGCCTAAAAACTACAACGCTCCGAAAAAAACGCACTGCCTCCAGGTTAGCGGTATGTGTTAAAATAGCCATAACTTTCTTAATTTCAATGCGATTGTTACAAAATTATAAAATTTGAGTTTTTCAATTTTAGAGCTTCAAAATGAGTATAAACATGGCAGAAAAAAATGGGAAATTTGAGTTTTTCAGTTTTTCAAAAAAAAATTTTTTGATCCACTTTACAAAAAGTACCGTAACTCCGTTAATTTAAACCCAAATTTTATGAAACTTGTACCAAAATGTTTGTCTTGTTAAGGGTTTCGAAATGAGTATAAACATGCCCTAGTTCGCATAAAGCCAATTTTTCGGATGCGTCGCGGTCGAGCGACGCGGTCAGTAAATTAAATTTCAAAAATGAGGAAATATGGGTATATGTTTTAAGCTTAAAATTTCAAAAATTGAAAAATAACAAAACAAGGCTTACTGGCTGAAATAAAACTGCAAATACGCATCGGGATCGAATTTTTGTACATAGTCCTCGGGAAGAAGTACAGTATGCTTGGTTTCTTCGTCCGATTGATTCATGGTAGAGAGAGTAGACATATGAAGAGGTATTAGAGAAAAAAATAAGGGACCCAAGAACTGAAAAAAAAACTAGATTTTTTGGGGAAAAGTCAATGAAAATTGAGGGAAAATAAGCAAAAAACAATTTTTAAAAATAATTGGACAAACCGACACACAGACAGACACAAAATAAGATTTGTCCTTTGCAAAAGTCCGTTTTTTGTTTACCCACTTGTCTAGATTTTTGCACAACTTTTGAAAATTTTCTTGTTTTTTTTTTGAAATTTCAGAATTTCAGAAAATTGGCGCCAAATTCAAAAAAGTTAAGTTTTGAATCTGAAAATTCACTTTTTTGCTCGAAAAATGCAAAAATCTCAAAAAAAACTGAAAACTTGAAGAAAAATGAGGAAAAAGTGAGAGAAGAATAGACCTCAAGTGTGTGTCGTTGCTCAGGCTCCGCCCACTTTTTTCGGAGGGAGAAGCAGAGAGAGAGAGAGAGAGAGTGAGAGACGCAGAGAAAGAAAGGGATTTCCCGGGAGAAGATGGCAGCCAGACTGATGAGAAATGATTGAGCACACAGAGAACGAAGAACGGGATTCTTTTTGGGAGATTCGGAAATTTGGAAATTCCAAGAAATTCGGAAATTCAGAAATTCAGAAATTTTAAAATTATCAAAATTCAGAAATTCAAAAATTTAGAAATTCCGAAATCCAGACATTCAGAAATTCAGAAACTCATAAATTCATAAATTCAGAAATTCAGAAATTCAGAAATTTAGAAATTCAGAAATTCATAAATTCAGAAATTCAGAAATTCAAAAATTCAAAAATTTAGAAATTCAGAAATTCAGAAATTTAGAAATTCAGAAATTCAGAAATTCAGAAATTCAAAAATTTAGAAATTCAGAAATTCAGAAATTCAGAAATTCAGAAATTCAGAAATTCAGAAATTCAGAAATTCAGAAAATCATAAATTCAGAAATTCAGAAATTTAGAAATTCAGAAATTCAGAAATTTAGAAATTCAGAAATTCAGAAATTTAGAAATTCAGAAATTTAGAAATTCAGAAATTCAGAAATTCAGAAATTCAGAAATTCAGAAATTCAGAAATTTAGAAATTCAGAAATTTAGAAATTCAGAAATTCAGAAATTTAGAAATTCAGAAATTCAGAAATTCAGAAATTCAGAAATTCAGAAATTCAGAAATTCAGAAATTTAGAAATTCAGAAATTCTCTCAATTTTTTGAATAATGAATGATTCTACAGTATCCTTCCCAGAAGGCTAATTTACCAGTGAACAATGCACTTCATACAGTATCCCTTCCAGAGTACCCATCACAGTATTTTAATGTATCCTTCATACACAGGAAAGAGCACTTCGCGTCATTCAATGAGACACAGTGTGCAAAAGGGGGCGGAGCCAATATCATTCGCTGTGTCCTTCTCTGTTCTACCTACTCATATGCATCTCACGACGACCTACTGAATGGACGTCTACATTTATTCAGGGGAACATTCCAGAGAATCCTATGAAATCTGGAATGTTCCCTGTCTATTTTTCTGATGATCTATTATTCTAGAACTTCCCAATAAACACTTTGAATGAATGTGTTTCTGGAATTTTCTATTTCCTATTTTTCTGAATATTTATCTTTTGAACGATGTGTTTGGTTTATTTGAAGGTGAGTAGATTTTTGAATTTTCTAGATTTTCAGGCTTTTTGAAAATTTTACGGAATTTCATAAACTGAAAAACGAAATCGATGAAAAAAGTTGAAATTAAAACTGGAAATCAGGAAAATTCAAATTTTGCCTATTTTTATTTGCTTTTTTAAAATTAAAAAAAGTGTAAAAATCAGCACTAAAATAGTAGTAGTTTTGGACCGCACTTTTTGAGATATGCGCCTTTAAAGACGCACCTAACGGAAAAACGGGTGTCCCAACTTTAAAGGCGCATAGGTCAAAAACTACGGTACCTAAAAAAAAGTGATCAACTACAAAAATGAGAAACAAAATGAGAGCTTCAATTTTATATTTAATAACTTTCTGTAGCTAATGTAGTTTTAGACTTATGCGCTTTTTAAGTTGAGACACCGCTATTCTTTTTTCGCTAGGTGCGCGCGATATCTTTCAAGGCGCATAACTCAAAAACTACGGTAGCTAGAAAAAAGTGGTCAACTACATAAATATAAAATAAAATTAGAGCTCTAAACTTGGAGTTAACAACTTTTTTCTAACTATCGAAGTTTGCGCGATATGCGCCTTTAGAGACGCACATAACGGAAAAAGGGGTGTTCCAACTTTAAAGGTGCATAATCAGTTTCCCTAAATTAAATTAAAAACGAGTTTGGTTTGTTTATTTTGAAAAAAAAAATTTTTCCAGGAGGTGCACACAGACCACAAAAACTGCTACAAATGCATGGAAGGGGAGCGACTTCAAATTTTTGTATGTACCGAACGTTCCACAACCAATTCCATTCTTCAAATGTCGCTGTGGCGCATATGTATTGCACTCACCCGGAAGACAATGAGGCCAACTTCCAGTGCGACCACTACATAGAAGAAGTGAAGCCATTTCCATCCACTGCCGATCTTCCGAAAAACAAACTGACGGAGAAACTGGAAGAGGAGCGGCTGCGACATAACGACATAGACATCGACGAGCTTCCCGCCAAAATCAAGGAAAATTTTGACACCGCCAAGAAGTTGAAGTTTGCTGTGAGAACGATTTCTGCGTCAATTAATTGTAATTTGTATTCTTTGGTTTATGACCACTTCTTTCTTTATCCCTTTTTGAATTATAAATCATTTTTCCTCTTTCTACAGTATCCTCCCCAGAAGAATAGAAAAGGTAATTTAACAGCACCCTTCTTTCTACAGTATCCCTTCTACAATATCCTTCCCAGAATACAAACCAAAATAGGAGTAGTGCCGATACCTTTTGAAAAATGACGGGTACTGTAAGCGGAGCCCATGAGGTGACATTTAGCTTTGAGCTACTTTATCTCGGTTCCTGTAAAAGATATTTAAAAGTAGTCAACTGAGAAAATGTTACTGATATCATGATAAACATTTCATCAGTTTAAAATTTTTTGATATCTCAAACAGGAAACGAGATAATTGGGTTCAAAGGAGCAATCTTTTTTTCAGTAGTTTCACAGATTAAAAAAGTTTTATTTAAACGTGATGAAAAAAACAAGAACGAAAAAATTAAAAATTCTAGACTAAACCGATTACGTGAATTGGTTTAGAAACCATTGACCTCAGGGAGAATACTATAAAAGAAGAGAGAATTGAAGATAAGAATCAGTTCTCGCTTTCTCTGGGATCGAGAGAAGGGAGCTCGGGGGAAGGATCCCCCTTGGGTCCTTGGGCTTGTGGGGGCCTTGGGCCTTGAGCCCTTTGGGGACTTTGGGCCCTTTGGGGGCCTTGGATCTTTTGAGGGCCTTGGGTCCTTTGGGGCCTTGAGCCCTTTGGGGGCTTTGGGCCCTGTAGGGGGTTTGGGCCCTATGGGGGCTATGAGGCCTATGGGGGCTTTGGGCCATATGAGGGCTTCGGGTGCTTTGGGGGACTTGAGCCCTGTGAGGGCTTTGGGCCCTTTGGGGGCCTTGGGCTTTATGAAGGCCTTGGGCCCTGTGGGGGTCATTCTGGAAAAATTTAATTAAAGCCTTTCTGAGAGAATGACAAACAAAAAAATTTTGCTGTTAAAAAAAAGAGAATGGAGGAAAGACATAAAGTTTTGAAACTCGAAAACTAAAGAGTTGGGAAATTCAGGAATTCGGAAAATATTCACAGAGAAATCAGGAAATTCGGAATAAGAGAAGAAAGCCGGAAAATTTATAATTTTTTTTCCGGAATATCGGGATTCAGAAATTTAGAAATTCAGATATTCCCTCAATATTTTTTGAGTATTAAATGCTTCTACAGTATCCTTCCCAGAAGGCTAATTTACCAGTGAACAATGCACTTCCTACAGTATCCCTTCTAGAGTACCCATCACAGTATTTTAAAGTATCCTTCATACACAGGAAAGAGCACTTCGCGTCATTCAATTAGACACAGTGACATTCCGAGACCCTTCTCAGTACCTATCAAAGTAATCATCCTAGTGTCCATTTTAGTACCCATCCTAGTACCCATCCAAGTATTCTTCATAGAATAAAATGAGAACTTCAATCAAAAAATAGACACAAGGGAATCTGAAGAGACGCAGGTGCTATTGATCCATTTAGGACAATTAACGTCAGACAAAGGTGAGAGATAATGGGGTGTGATTCAGAAATTTGGAAATTCAGAAATTCAGAAAAAGTTAAATTCAAAAATTCAGATTTCTGAATTTTTGAATTTCTGAATTTCTGAATTTCTGAATTTCTGAATTTCTGAATTTCTGAATTTCTGAATTTCTGAATTTCTGAATTTCTGAATTTCTGAATTTCTGAATTTCTGAATTTCTGAATTTCTGAATTTCTGAATTTCTGAATTTCTGAATTTCTGAATTTTTGAATTTAACTTTTTCTGAATTTCTGAATTTCTGAATTTTTGAATTTAACTTTTTCTGAATTTTTGTATTTAACTTTTTCTGAATTTCTGAATTTTTGAATTTCTGAATTTTTGAATTTCTGAATTTCTGAATTTCTGAATTTCTGAATTTCTGAATTTTTGAATTTCTGAATTTCTGAATTTCCGAATTTCTGAATTTCTGAATTTCTGAATTTCTGAATTTCTGAATTTCTGAATTTCTGAATTTCTGAATTTCTGAATTTCTGAATTTCTGAATTTCTGAATTTCTGAATTTCTGAATTTCTGAATTTCTGAATTTCTGAATTTCTGAATTTCTGAATTTCTGAATTTCTGAATTTCTGAATTTCTGAATTTCTGAATTTCTGAATTTCTGAATTTCTGAATTTTTGAATTTCTGAATTTCTGAATTTCTGAATTTCTGAATTTCTGAATTTCTGAATTTCTGAATTCCTGAATTTCTGAATTTCTGAATTTTTGAATTTCTGAATTTCTGAATTTCTGAATTTTTGAATTTCTGAATTTCTGAATTTCTGAATTTCTGAATTTCTGAATTTCTGAATTTCTGAATTTCTGAATTTCTGAATTTCTGAATTTTTGAATTTCTGAATTTCTGAATTTCTGAATTTTTGAATTTCTGAATTTCTGAATTTCTGAATTTCTGAATTTTTGAATTTAACTTTTTCTGAATTTCTGAATTTTTGAATTTAACTTTTTCTGAATTTCTGAATTTCTGAATTTCTGAATTTCTGAATTTCTGAATTTTTGAATTTTTGAATTTAACTTTTTCTGAATTTCTGAAATTTTCCAAAATTGAATTTTTACAGATTTTCAATCTATTTCTAATTTGATGTTTTTTCAAGATTTTGCAGCTTTCCTATATTTGAATTTTTTTAGTGTACATTTTTGAATTCACACCGTTTCCAGATTTCCAGATTTTTAAAAAATTTCCAATTTTGAAATCTTTTGAGTTTTCGTTTTTTTTTCAAATTTCCATTTATTTTCAGATTTTTTAATTTTCTAGATTTCCCAGTTTCAAACTTTTTTGAATTCTCAGATTTGTTCAGATTTCTTAGCTTTTTCTTGACTTTTCGATTTTCAGATTTTCCAATTTTACACAAAATTTTCAGAATGGTTATTTTTGAAATTTTCGTTTTAAAATCCAATTTTTTTTCCAAATTACGGAATCTTTCAAAATTATCCAAAAGATTGAAAATCTGTTCCAATCCGATTGCCTATGATATCCCACTGTGCATGTTTTGGACACTGGCCACACTGACCATTCATTTTGCAAAAAAAATCTATAAAAATTTTTAATAAAAATATTTTGGCCCTGGTCCATAAACAACAACACCAATGGACCCAAATCCACATAAAAGGGACCCTCTGAAACCAAAAAAATCATCCATCGACCAGTTCGAAAAATGATATCCTTTCCCACATTGCTCATCCTTATTCTTCTCCTGCTTCCCCTGATTTTTGGAGCTCCTGCAGAAAATCCAAAAGCTCTTGAGAAGATTCTGGTGGAAGAGAATCCGGACACAACTGAAAATCGAGAGAAGATTCGTGGAATTATCAGTGAAGCGTTTGAGAATCGAATCCCGAGAGTTCAAGGAAGACAAGGAGTGGCACCGCCTGTGAAATTGGTAAGTAGCCTAACTTTTTCAGCGATGACCTTGAAGTTTCAAAACAATAAAATTTGGCTTTTCGAGGATGCGAGCTTCAAAATGATACCTATTGTGACTCATTTTGCTCTATTTTGATATTTGTGATTTACCGACCGCGTCGCACGACCGCGACGCTGCCGGGAAAATTATCTTCTTGCAAACTAGGTCATGATTATACTCATTTTAAAGTGCTTCACTTACCAAATTCTGAAATCACAATATTTTGCAGTTTGGAGCAAAAATAATAGAAATAAAGGGAGTTTCTAATATTTCTCGAAATATTTGAAACTATCTAACTTTTTCAGGAGGAGCATCATAGAAGTTCTAAAACTTCTAGATTTGAGTCTCCGAAGTTGCGAGCTTCCGAAAAATTGGTTGGATGCAAACTAGATCATGATTATACTCGTTTTGAAGCTCTTGACTTGACAAATTAAGAAATTACAAAGTTTTCTAGATTTGAGTAAAAATAAAAGAAATATTGGGTTTTCCATAATTGCTCAAAAATTTAAAATTACCTAACTTTTTTACTGATGATCTGGGGATTTAGAACCTTTTGAATTCAGCTTTCCGGAGTTACAAGCTTCAAAATGATACCCATATTGACATATTTCGCTCTATTTTGAGATTTGACCTACCAACCGCGTCGCAGGACCGTGACGCGTCGGGAAAAGTGAATTCATGCAACTAGGGCATGATTATCATCATTTTGAAGCTCTTGACGTGCCAAACTTAGAAATAACAAAAACTTTCAGTGTGGAGCAGAAATTAGAAAAATAGAGGAAATTTCAAGTTTTTTCTTAAATCTTTAAAAGTACCTAACTTTTTCGGAGATGGCCTAAGAGTTTCGAAAAATCCAAATTTCGCTTTTCGAGGATACGAGCTTTAAAATGATACCCATATTGACATATTTCGCTCTATTTTGAAATTTGACCTACCGACCGCGTCGCACGACCGCGACGCGCCGGAAAAATTGATTTCTTGCAAACTAGGTCATGATTATACTTATTTTAAAGCTCTTGACTTGCCAAGCTAAAAAATCATAATAGTGTTCAGTTTGGAGCAAAAATAAGAGAAATAGAGGGGGTTTCAGTTATTTCGGACTACTTGTCTTATCTTTAACGCGCTAACAGCACTCCTTTACAATCAAATTTCACAAAATTACATATTATTTTGTGTCCCAGGGTCTAGGCTTTGAAACACGCTTAAAATCAATTTTCTGAGGCGATTTATGCGCCTTTAAAGGAAAAGATAGTGACGCAGACATTGTAGCTTCTCTGCGTCTCTCATTTTAACGCTAAAAACGTCTAGAAAAAACCAGATTGCTTAAAATTTCAACCTTAACCGAACGAAACCAAAATTTTCCAGATGGCATTGAACTATGGACCTAAAAACAACCAAACCAAGCGATTTGAAGAGCTCAACTCGGAAATTAATGGTATTTTTCATTCAAAATCGCTTCTAGAAACCCCAGAATTTTTTCAGAGTACACATTCGAATCTGACATCATGCTCAACGAAAATCAAGCCAAAAATTTGGCAAATTCGATAATTAACGGTAATTATCGCTCGAAAAGACAAGCAATCGTGGATACTACGCTTTTTTGGAGTCCCTCAACTCCAATTTATTATCAATTTGACTCAAAACTTTGTGAGTACAGTAGTCCTACAGTAATCCTACAGTGATCCAAAAATAAAAATTGAATTTCAGCCGCCACAAACATTGCCAACGTCCGTAAAGCCATCAAGTTCTGGAATGACAACACTTGTTTGAGTTTCCAGGTAAACTACAAACTACAGTAACCCAAAAAAACTACAGTAAACAAAAAATTCAGGAAAACAATTCTGGAAAGAATCGTCTGTTTTTGTCATCTGCTGGTGGATGTTGGTCGTATGTTGGAAAACAGGATAATATGCCATATCAAGTGGTCTCCGTTGGACCAAATTGTGACTCGGTAGGTGGCCTAACTTTTTTTAGGGTTGACCGACGAGTTACAAATATTTCAAATTCAGCCTTTGGAGCTTACGAGCATTGAAATGATACCCATATTGCCCTATTTCGCTCATATTTGCAATTTGATCTAGCGACCGCGACGCATGACCGCGACGCATTCCGCAAAATTAATTTCATGCGAACTAGGTCATGATTATACTCATTTTGAAGCTCTTGGCATGCCAAGCTCAGAAATCGCACAGTTTTTCTGTTTGAATCAAAAATAAGTGAAATATAAGGTTTTCAAGTTTTTCTCAAACTTTTAAAATTGTCGGAAACTTCTAAAAAATCCCTTGAGAATTTGTAAAACATCCTTTTCAACTTTTTGAGGTAGTGAGCTTTGAAATAATACCCATAATGACTAGTTTCACTCTATATTGAACGTTTGATCTACCGACCGCTTCGCACGGCCGCGACGCGTTTGGAAAATTTGACTTCATGCAAACTAGGTCATGATTGTATTTATTTTGAAGCTCTCAACGAGCCAAATTTGAAACTTATAGTTTTAACCCTTGAAAATTAAGATTTCGATTGTTTTTGCAGCTCGGAACCGCCACCCACGAACTAATGCACGCAATCGGCTTCTGGCACCAACAATCTCGTTCGGATCGTGATGATTATGTCTACGTGGATTTCAGTAACATCATCCCAAGTCAAGCCTATAACTTCCAGAAGATGCCATTGGACCAGGCACAACTTTTGGCGCTAAAATATGATTACGGAAGTGTTATGCAGTATTATCCATGTAAGATAATTTTTGTAGCTTGTAGTTTGAAGTCTTTGAAAAAACTATAAAATTTTCAGATGCTTTTGCTCTTGACTCCTCCAAGTACACGATTCTAGCCAAAGAAAATGGCATGCAAAATAGTATGGGACAACGAGAGGCACCAGCGTTTTCCGATCTGATTGCAGTTAACAAGCTTTATAACTGTACAAGTGAGTCAAAATTTTTTGACAGTTGTGAAATTGATTTTCTGACATCAAGAGCTTCAAAATGAGCCCCAACAAGACCTATTTCCTTCAATTTTGTAATTTCGATCTGCCAACCGTGACGCACGACCGCGACGCATCCGAAAAATCCAAATCGTGCTAACTAGGGCATGATTATACTCATTTTGAAGCTCTCAACAAGCCAAATTCAAAGATCACAAAGTTGTCAAGTTTAGAGAAAAAAAAGAAGTATAAGGTTTTCAATTTTTTCTCAAAACTTCAAAAGTGTATGAAAATTTTGAAATATCAGTTGAGAATTCAAAAAAACATAATATTCATTTTCTGGATGTAGTAAGCTTCAAAATTATACCCATATTGCCCTATTTCGCTCATATTTAAATTTTTAATCTTCCAACCGCGACGCACCGTCGCGACGCCTTCGAAAAATCAATGTCATCCAAATTAGGGCATGATTATACTTATTTTGAAGCTTGCGATAAGCCAAATCCAAAATTCCATATTTCCAACAAAAATTTCGATTTCTCAGGTCAATGCAAAACCAAAATGACCTGCTCAAACTGTGGATTCACCGACCCCAAAAACTGCAATCAATGCAAATGCCCCAACTATTTCACTGGCCCAACTTGTGATGCACTTCCAACTGGAACCGCTGTCAATTGTAATGGAGCCATTATTCAGGTAAAAATTTCTTATTTAGAGCATAAAGAAATGGAAATCAAAATTCATGCTTTCAAAAAATCTTAATTCTGTCCAAAATCCTATGAGGTATTAAGCCAATTTTTAACTTCAAAATGAGACTAACATCAACTCTCTAGCTCTATTTTGAAGCAAGTTATGAGCCTTTAAAGAACCCACCACCAGACACAATGGGAAGAACGAGACGCAGACAACGAGACAGATCTAGCTTCTCTGCGTCTTTTCCAAACTTCAAAGGCTCTTAACTCGCTTCAAAATTGAGCTAGAACAAATTTGAAAAAACTGAAATGAGTGAAATTTCTTGCTCTATCATATGTTCTAGGCCATATCCTCCTGGCAAACATTCAACGCCACCGCTGGCGATCCAAACAGCTACACATCGTCCCAAGGAAACTCATCCAGCTGTTTCTGGCACATCAAAGCCCCTGCCGGACAAAAAATCGAATTCAAAATGACGACGGCTCCAATGGCCGCGATTTGCATGCAAGAGTGTCCATGGCAAGCAGTGGAGATCAATTTGGGACAGTTTGATCTGTATGGAATGATGTAAGTGCGCTCTAGTGGACTTTTTAGATCTCGAAAATTTGAAAAATCAGAAATTCAGAAATTCAATAATTCCAGGAAATTCCTGGAAATTCAGGAATTCTGAAATCCGGAAGTTTTAAAATTCAGAAAATCGGAAATTCCAGGAAATTCAGAAATTCAAAAATTCAGAAATTCAGAGAAATATTCAATTTTCAAAAAATCGAATTTTAGAAAATTCCATAACTTTGCTCAAAACCAACCGATTTTAATAAAATTTTCAGCCAAAAATCCTTGATTTTTTCAGAAGTATTTCGCAAAAAATCCTTTAAACATTTTTGAAAAAAATCCCAAATTTGAAAATCCCATAACTTTGATAAGCCAAAAACCCTAAAAAATTTTTTTCGAAAATTCAAATTGTTATAAGTTTCATAACTTTGCTTAAAATCAATCGATTTTTATGAAATTTTCAGCAAAAAAAACCCCCAAAAATCTATAATTTTGTTCCAGAACCTGTTGTGACACGATGCTCAATCAAGTGCTCACATCTGTCCAAAATGTAATTGCCCTTCGCGGTCGTGTCAGTTACAACCAGCTGAAATTCAGTGTCCAGTATCGTGCGGTACCAAATCAAGGCACAGCAACCACTCAGACTTGTGTCACTATTTGAATTTTTGAATTTTTGAACTTTTTTTATTTTGGGGAAATTCGGGATTCTAATTTATTCTTGATGATCTTAAAATGGATGGTCTTTCTGAATCAATAAAGTTGCTTAATTTTAAAATTAAAAATGTTTATTAAATTTGAAATTTTGCTTGAAAAGAGGAAATAAGAAAATTATGAAAAATACGAAAATGAAAAAAAAACATGATTCATCAAAAACAGAAAATATCCATTTTGAGGTTATGAAACAGATCGAAATGGAAAAATGGAAAAAAAGTGACAAAATAAAAATAAATTCGAAAATCAAGAAATAAAAAAATTAATTAAAAATTTCAAAAATTCAAATAGTGACACAAGTCTGAGTGGTTGCTGTGCCTTGATTTGGTACCGCACGATACTGGACACTGAATTTCAGCTGGTTGTAACTGACACGACCGCGAAGGGCAATTACATTTTGGACAGTTGTGAGCACTTGATTGAGCATCGTGTCACAACAGGTTTTGGAACAAAATTATAGATTTTTGGGGGTTTTTTTGCTAAAAATTTTCATTGATTTTGAGCAAAGTTATGGAACTTATAAAAATTTTGGATTTTCAAAAAAATCTAGGGTTTTTGGCTTAACTACAATTCGTAGGTTGTCCCATCGTTTTTTATTCAGTTTGAGCTGAGATATCGCCATCTGAAAAAAAAACTCCAAAATTTAACACTGAAAATACAGGCGCGCTCCGCCGCACAATTTGAAGGCGGCTTTTTGGCGCGATCGCGTTTCGGCAGGCTGTGGAGTTGTCGATACAGAGTTGAGCATGGTCTTGACTACACAAATAACGACTTTGAAAAATGCTTCGCATCATATAAGGCAAGTCAAGATTATATTTAGTATTATAATTGAAAAATTTGCAGAGACAGTTCCATAACAACGAATTTCTCCAAATGCGCACAACCATCCAAAAAACCATTGAATGGACAAGTTCTTTAGTTCGAGATTCAAATGCGTGCCGAAATCTTTTGAACAGAAAACCGAAAAAAAAACACCACTATATTAGGACCAGAATTTCTTGAGAGCCGTCTTGTATAACCACCCAAATTTCGAATCATTTTCAGAAAAAAGTTTTCCCATTTATGAGAATGCCGAAAGATCATCACTTAATTTTTCTATATTTTTGTACACAATAAACGTTGTTTTTTTTTAAATTAAATCGGATTTAGAAATTATAAGCAAATCATTGCAGCATTAAAAACAAACTGTAAAATCTGAACTTGAATGCAATTTTAACCGAAATTTATTTATTGAAAAATCGAGGAAAAAGTGTGCGGCAACCTTGCATTTTAGGCTCCGCCCCTCGCTCCGCCCACTTTTCTCCGGAGTTTTTTTTACCCCGGGGTTTTTTTTTGTAAAAGGAGTGGTAATTCAAATATGAATATTCGCATTGAATGAATGCGAGAAAGAATAATTTCACAGAATAATATCGGAAACAAGGGAAAATAGTGAATGAATAATCGAAGCAAGTAAGGGGGATTTTGCGGGGAAAATCGGTAGACCCTGAGTTACTCTGCTTTCAGGTTGACAATTATCTGCGGGGAACCCGGTTTTTTGTCAATCCGAATACGGTGCGCGCTGAGAAATGCGCATTGGGTGTAAACACTGCGACGCGCAGTTGCGGACGGCGAGAGAGTGTACTCTCTCATTCAGAAATGTTTTCCAATTTCACCCAATTCGACCGATTTCGCTGGAAATTTGGACGAGTCGATCGACAAAAAATTAATTCAAGTAAGTCTTTATCGATTTGTGATAAAATTTGACTGAAAATCCCAAGAAAATTTGACTATTTAGTTCAAAAAAGGCCCAAATGGCCTAAAAATGGTCGTTTGGCTTAAAAAATTTCCGAAATTCGAAGTTTTCATGGAATTTCGCCAGCTGAGTGAACGCGTGGCCAAGTATTATATTTGAAAAGCTCAGTTTCTAGTCCCAAAATGCTCAAAAACCAAGAATTTGACCCAAAAAACGGAGTCGCCGGAAATTTTGCACTACGAAAATTTTCCAAAAATATATTCCAGTCCAAAAATCGTTTTCTTTCGCTCAGAATTGAATTTTTATACTCAATGCTGATTCGGAGCCAACAATTTATAAAGAAAATAGCTGAAATTCTTGAAAAAAAATTATTTTCGAAAATTTTCGAAAAAAAATCGAAAATCGATAAACGATAGAAATTTAGCGATGGAAATTTTTTGTATGTGCCTTGCAAGGTCCCTAGTAAATTATCTATTGATGAATACCCTTAAAATCTTGCTGAAAATCTGAAAATGATCGCCATTATCTGAAAATGATGAACATTCTCTCCGTCTCTTAGTTAGACACACTATCGCCTAAAATTGAATACTGAATTTTTCCAGGTCGGAAAATTCGGGTAGCTCCACAACATCGACACGATGGAAAAGGAAAAGATCAAGGAGTCAAAACCGAGAAGCCACAGAAGGCTGGAGGAAGTACCAAGACGTGGAATGTAGCTTCGAGCAAGCTCATAGTGTGGAGAGAAGAGGATAGCTGGAGACGTCGCTGACAAGAAAGAGATCAAAGCGTACGAACTGTAGCTTCAGCAGAGCGGATGCACTTTTAGTGAGTGGAATATTTGAAATTTGACAGAAAAAAGAACGTGACGTCGTTACAGAATCGCTGTCAATATAGAATAGCTGTCACACCGAAACCGAACCGTGTCAGTCCGATGGATCCCGATCCAGCGCCGATGTCAAATAATAGCAGAAGGCCGAGGAGTCAAGAAAGCCGACGTAACTCCAAAAGCACATCGTCACGTATCCATCGACCCAAATTGACAACTAATTATCGATTTTTCGTTACTTATCAAAATTTCCTCCTAAAAATGTCGAATTTCAGCATAATAAAAATATTGTTGTCAAATCAATTGTGTTCTTAAAAATGTCTTGTTGAGTGAAGGCGTGAAACCTTCTGATTTTCTCTGATTCAACGTAGTCGTCGATCCTTGAAGTCGTCGAAGTGAGTCATAGCTTCAGTGAAGTCGTCGGAAGAAAGTCACGAAGAAGAAAAATTGTTCGAAAGAAAAAAAAACAAGAAAGACACGAGCACAAACAAGAGTGTTAGAAGCTGAACGTTGACGAGTAATGATGCATCTAGGCGATCGAGAAGAAGTCACCCCTAAGGGTAAAAGGTCGTCATTCTTTTCAGATGTATCTAATCGAGCAGCTTCAAACGACGACAGCAATAGCTTTATCGAAACATACCTTTACGATGAGAATTTATAGACATAGGCTGTGAAAAAAAATAAAAAATCGAGTATAATTAAGGGTAAATTACAGTCCCAGCTCCACCTATTGTCTAGTATCTCCCACAACAAGATCGTGAAGGCAAATGGAAAGAAGATTCAGTTCTCGCCTTCTCTGGGACCCGGGGGAGGGATCCGGACCTCCGGGAATCCGGACATCCGGAAATCCGGAAATCCGGGAATCCGGACATCCGGGAATCCGGACATCCGGGAATCCGGGATTCCTGGATTCCGGACATCCGGAAATCCGGAATTCCGGACATCCCGGAATTCGGGAATCTAGAATTCCGGGATTTCGGGAATCCGGAAACCCGGACATCCGGGAATTCGGAATTCCGGACATCCGGGGATCCGGAAATCCGGACATCCGGGAATCCGGGATGCCGGAAATCCGAGAGTCCGGGGATCCAAGGAACCGAGCCTCAAGGACCCAGGTTCCGGATACCCGGATGTCCGGATTCCTGGAAACCCGGATTCCCAGAATCCTGGATTCCGGAATGTCCGGATCCCTTCCCCGGGTCCCTATTCTGGAGCCCAGAGAAGGCGAGAACTGATTCTTTCCTTCACTTCTCTCTTTCTTTATATTAGTAATCTCCCCGAGGTCAATGGGTCAGCGTGTGTTTCTAGATTTTAATTTTTTTCAAAACTTTTTTACATCGAGTTTAAATTACCCTTGATTTTTGATAATTTTTTCAACTGTTTAGACATGACCTTCCTTTTGACCCCAATTATCTTGTTTCCCATTAGAGATATCAAAAATCTTTCAACTGATAAAATGTTGCTGATATCAAGGCAAACATTTTTGCAATTGACATATTTTTGATATCTTTCACAGGAGCCAAGAAAAAATTGGTCGAAATTGGTCAAGAAGGATATTCACAGGGTATTGCCACTTCGAGAGCAATTATCTCGGTTCCTATAACAGATATCAAAAAGTGATTAACTGCTCAAATGTTTTTTATGTTTGTATTGTCACAGGAGAGACATCAGACTGATAAGAGAAAACGAGAGAGTCCCATAAATCGGTTCCCATTCAAGCTTTATTTACTATTTGATTAGAACAGATTGTATTCATTAGTTTCAGAGTTCGTTGGCAGATGCTTCTGGTTCATGCCTGCAATTTTGTAAATATAATTATGAAGTTTATCTAACTTTCAATGTTTTTGACAACAAAAAAGACAGCAATATACCTTTTTGAAGTCGGAGTCACAGTAATCTTCTCAACGTGCCAAAAACATATTCCAGCATAAAACCGTTGATCTTATTGACGGATTTAAAAAAACGTTTCTAGATACCGTAGTTTTTGAAGAATGCGTCTTTAAAGATTGGGTGTCTGTGTATTGCCTTAAAGGCGCATAACTTAAAAATTACGGTAGCTAGAAAAATGTTGGCAACTACAAAAATGAAGGTCTACTTTCGTTTAGTATAATCTGAAAATTTCAGACAAATCGAAGAAGTTCTAAATGCTTTTGTAGATATCCTAACTTACATTGACGAATCTGAAAATGAGCCTCATCCATAAGTCACAAAAAATGAAAAATATCCAAGAAGATTTATTAACAACAAAAAAAAAACAAATATGAAAACCAAGAAATCATTTATAAGAACGATAGACTTGATAACAGAATTTGACTTGTGCTCCGCATTCCAAACAAATGGTATGGCCACATGAAACTGAAAATAGTAAAATCAATTTTTGACATTTTGTAAAACTTTTCTTTGAAAACTCCTAACTAGGTTCATTTCAATCCGTTTTGGCTGAATTTTTTTTCGGTCGATAGACAATTTCTTTGGCTACGCGGTTACCAAAAATTGTTGAACGTTGAACTGAACTGTTTGAACCAAGATGTGACAACGAATTTACAAGTGGAGCCGGTTTTTTCTGCCGAACTAGGGTATAAATCAAAAATCAGGCTTTCTCATTCAATGCGTAATTTTGTTAGCTACAATTGAAAAGAAAGAAAATTGGATTTGTTCGAAATTTAAAAGAGTTCAGAGGTTTTGAATGAAAAGTTAACGAATTGTTTTGGGGAGCATGTTACAGGGTCGAAAGCCCTGTCCGGTCTGTTTGACCTGAGCGAGCGGAGCGAGTGAAGGGAGAACAGACTGAACCTTGAACCAACTGATTCCACCCAATTTCGCGGCATAGCCGCGCCTAGCGGAGTTGGCCGTAGGCCGAGGACGCTAGACCCTCACACATTTAAATTGTGTTGGCTATTGGCGGAGAAAGTTCTCATGAAAGAACCTAGAGTTTAGGCATAAGAGAAGGGGAATAAATTTGGTCTTTCTCGTACAGCTGTGTTCTTATCATCTTGATCTCTTTCAGGAGTTATCTCTCTACTTTGGGTCGTTTTAGCGGGGAAAATCAATAGCCAGCCGACAAATTGTCTACAGCAAAAAGGCACTATATTATTTTTGACCCGGTGCTGTATTTTTCGATTATAGTTTTTGGAATAAAATAAAAACTATGTTCAGAATAAGAAATGCCTTACTATTAAAACTAAACTAACTAGAAAAACTCTTCGTCGTCCTGGTCGTTCACATTGGTAACGAGAGAAGCGGCGTGCAGTGAATGATGGGGGATCCGACCAAGTATTAGGCGAAAATTGACTTCACGGCTTTATCAATTTGAACTCCACAAATGGAAAACATGCGAAGAGAACATGCAGCGTTGAAATGCAAAAGCATTCCATGCCCATGGATTCATGATAGACTAAAAAACATTTTATAGATTCGCAACTTTTTTTTTACCGGAATTACCGTTGGGATATCCAGCATTGTGACATCGAAATTGTGTGAAACTTCAGAAATGAGTTCTGCTGTGAAGTGCGCTCCAACATATTCTTCGAGTTGCATGTGATATTCACCGTATCCACCATGATTTGGCAAGCCACCGTAAAGTGTTCGCAGAATAGCTCGAATATCAGCATGCGTTTCATTGATGGGTCTCTGGAGAATAAAACTTTAGAAATTTGGCGAATTAAAGTTGTTTTAAGAATACGAATTTCTGCCAATCCCGTATTTTCCCAATTAGGACGTCAAACGGTAATTGCACTTTGAGCGCAATTATCTCAATTCGCGCACAACTTTCTTCAAAATAGGGCTGAACTTTTCTGCAAAAAACAGCAAATCACCCGAGAAAAATGATTCGAAAGTCTTCTTGAAAAAGATAAGAAAAATTTTAACAAAAAAAATAATTTGAGTTACATAAGGCATTTTTTAAATATTTTATTTTTTAGAAACTTTTGAAAAATCCTAAAAATGTTTTAAAAGTAGAGATTTTCAGTCTTTTTGAAATTTTTTAGAAAATTTCGAATTAAAGAAAGTTTTGGAAAAAATGCGAAAAATTTGAAATTTTGAATTTCCCGAAAATATTGAAATTTTGAAATCTCCGCCAAAGTTTTTAAAATCTTCAAGAATTGCCCGATTTTCCAAAAATCTCAAAGTTTAAGCTAATTCGGTTTTTCCAGATTTTTGTGTACTCACCTTTAAAAGAAATCAAATTTCCAACGAAAAATAGAAAATTCCGAAAACCCATTCATTCATAGGGTTTTCGGAAGATTCTAGGAATAATTGGAAGTAAAAGGTATTCAGAAAAATAAAGGAAACTTCCAGAAATCCATTCATTTTTAGGATTTTTCTGGAAAATTCCAAGAGACGTCTATTCAGTCAAGTCGTCTGTGGGGAAATGAATGAAGGAGACATTCTATGCTGCCTCTGCGGAGGACATGTGTCATTTTTTCTCTGCGTCTCCTCTCTCTAACACAATTGGAAAAAAAACAACGAATGAATCATAGGAGTGGAGGCAACATTTGAGAGAACAGGAAACGTATTTATACATAAAACTGTGTTACGAAATTTTTAATTTCCATTTTGAAGTAATTCAGAATAGTATGCTTTGGAAAGGAAGATTTTTTGAAAAAAAAGTCCCGAAATTTTCAAATTTTCGAGAATTAAAAAAACCCCGGAGTTTTTGAAATCACCAGAAACAAAAAACAATTCCCGAATTTCTAAATTTATGAGTCATTTTCAAGATAAGCACTGAAATTGATACTCTACACTTTAAAGGCGCATAACTTCAAAACTACGGTAGCTCTAGAAAAAAGTTTTCCACTACAAAATTTGAGCTCTACTTTTGTTTAGTATAATCTGAAATTTTCAGAGAAATCGAAAAAATTCTAAATGCTTTTGTAGATATCCTCACTAGAATTTCCATTTGGGGGGAGATTCACCCGCCCGCACCCGCCCGGGGGGCTCAGCCCCCTGCGGCCCCCCGTTGGCCCCCCCCCCGCGATTATTTACGTGAGGAAAATATTATCTTTTTTGTAGTTTTTTGATTTAATAATAATATTTATTGATAAAGGACTATATAGTCACTGATATAATCAATATGTAAAAAGAATAGAAATTAAAAGTTAAATTCGTTGAGCGTCAAGTAGGGGGATAAGTCAACATGAGTTAAATTAGTTTTAAAAGAAACAGTGGAAATAATGAGAGGGAAAACTGTTTTTGGAAGCGAATTCCAACATGATACAATACGAAGGGTAAAAAATTGAGAAGTAAGTTTGGACGAATTTTTTAAGGTACAACGAATGTAATAAGGATGACGTCTAAGACTTGAGTGATTGAAGGGAGAAATGAATAGATTATGAGCAATGGCTACTTCCTGGGCAACCAGTATTTTATACATGAAAACTAGATCAGAAATTAGTCTACGATACTCTAGAGATTCTAAGTTATACTCACGGAGACAATTGAAATAAGATACATAGGGATAGTTAAATTTTTTGTAGCATCTATAGAGGAAAGATTTTTGGACGCTTTCCAGGAGCCTGATTTGCTCCTTGATGACGGGAGAGAAAACAATTGTACCATACTCAAGAATAGGGCGGATGTAAATAATGAAGCATTTTACAAAAATGTCCATTGTAGACCGGCGGAGGACGTTAAAGAAAATGTTGATTCTTTGATGTGCTTTCCGAAGTGTGGTACCGAGGTGGTCAGAGAAGGTCAACGAAGAATTGAGAATAACTCCCAAATCACGAATCATCTTAACCGTTGGAAGTCTCTCGTCATTAATGGAAAACTGGTTATTAATAGTGTTCAGCCGTTTTTTGTGAGAGAAAGAGATGGATTCACATTTAGTAGGATTTCAGAAACTCTTTTTTCTTGGAAAATACGTGATTATCATTAAAAATTAAATAAAAATTCACACGCAAATAATCGCGGGGGGGCCCGGGGGCCTTGGGTGGTAGCCCCCTGGCGGGTGGCTCTTTTTTTAAACCGCCCAAATGGAAACCCTAATCCTAACTTAAATTGATGAACCTGAACATTTTTTCAAAGCTAAATGTAGTAAATCCAGCCGGTTTGCCGCGTCTCTGGCCCTTCAAATAGCTGGCTAGTGCGCCTTCGGCGCGATGAAAGAGCTCCCGATAAATCAATTTTTCTTGAATAAATTGTTTTATTGAAGACAACAAAATAAAATAAAAAGAAAATCATATTCAAAAAAGAATTTACGATTTTTGATCAATTTTGAAATGCATCACATATATTTCTATTCCATTTTCCTTTGTTATCTGTTCCAGCAAGACGTTGAGCTTTTTTTCTTTATCGATCGGAAAGATTAGACCATATTCGTACGTCCCGTTGGGCCTGAAAATTTCGATTACTGTAAACATAGCTTGAACCAATTTATCTCGGTTCCTGGTAGAGATATCTAAAATGCGTCCACTGATAAAATGTTGCTGATATTATAATATACATATTGTCAGTTGACCACTTTCTGATATTTTTCACAGGATATGGGGTGTTTGGGCTCAAAGTTGAAGGCACGGTATTTCGATTTCTAAGACGGCCAAATTTTTTGAATTAAAAAAAAACTTACAGATTAAAATTTCTCTCTACTTCTGGATCATGTTCATCAGATGTGAAATATTCGATCGTTGTATCAATCTGGTAGTATACTTCCATTGAATAATGTCTCCCGATTTCTGGCTTCGAATTCTGCCAACTGTCCACTATCTCCCCCACAGTCCACCAATCAATTTCCCAGTATTTGACATGAATTCTATGCATATCAGAGTCGTGGATACCGACTGCTTCTGTAATGGTGATTGCTGTCTTAGCCGGAATATTTGGGACCAATGTGAAGCTGTTATCGTATTCGAAAGATTCCAATGGGAAGCTGTCTGCGGTTAGAGCCTTCTGGAGATCCACCATGAGGGTTAAAGTTCTCTTTTCCCTTTCCAGGAAGTCTTCTTCAGGGTCATAGTCTGGTTTTGCAACCTTGAAGTTCCGAACGCAGAATCTCAAATTTGGCGGCAAATTCAAATCTCCAAGAATCGACAGATTCTTAACTTTCAAAATTCCTGATCTTCCCTTCATGAGCGTATTGAATAGCTTCTCCCTAGCTTTATCTACAGGTACGGTAGTTTTCAGGATCACCGTCTTACAATTCACATCGTCTTTGAAAATCTCAATGTGTCCTCGAGATCGATATTCTATGACGTAGAAGCTGGTGTTGTTGATTTTCACAACATCCGGTGTGATCTCAACGGTGTGTACTTCAGCCGGGCATCGATGGTCGGTTCTACGGAGTGCTGGACATCTTTGGGTCATTAGGATTCTGGAAAATGCGCTCTCTTGTACAAAACTTTTCGGAAACAACTAACCTATTGGAAAGTTCCATTCGCTCAATCACAGTTGGCCAGATGTCATAGAGAAGTGGTCGGGGCATCTGGGATATTGGGCTTTCTGGAAGAGGGTAGTATAAAAATGAGATACTGAAATGACTTGGTCCATAAGATGGCCAAAAATTGAGCGATTTGAAAAATTTGAATCATCAACATTGAGGAATGTTCATTGAGGAATGTTTTTGAGCCCTCTTTCAAGCATAGTTGCACGCGGGCCGGCTGATAACTTGTCCGTAGAACGAGATAATCAGACAGTTTTGGTACCGAATTATAGATTTCGACAGGGCCCATCACGCATATATCATCTGATCCAGATTCCGGTCCGCGAACATGCCGCAACCTGGGCTTGAATGACAATTTCCGACCAACTTGACAGAAAGCAAATTTTTGTGATTCAAACACATTTTTCAACATGTTATTGGACCGGAATCTGAATCCAATAATATAGCCGTAATGGGCTCTGTTGAGATCCATCATTTGGTACATAAACTGTCTGAATATCTCATTCTATACCCAATTTATGAGCCGGCCCGCTTGCAACTATGCTTTCAAGAACCTAGGCACAAAAATATGAATTGAATTTTGAAAAAAAAAACTCAAAAATCCTTATGAAAAAGCAATAAAAGACGCACAACAATGTGTGCCTGTCGCTGAGGAGGATAAAGAAAAAATCAATAAATAGTCAGAATGAGGCAGGGACTTACCATGCGGACCATTCTTCCCAGGAGCACTGTCCCGCCTGGTCTCAGTTATCTTCAGAATGTTCTAGTTGTTACGACCGTATTCCATTGGTTTAGTATACTTCATGTGCTTCCGAAACAATCCTTTTTCCAATAAAATGTTTTATTAAAACCAACAAAACCAAAAACAAAGAACTGCATCTTTGAAGAGGAATCAACAGAATTGGATCAATTTTGAAATGTATTACATATTTGTCCGTTCCATCCTTATTTTTGCCAATTTCCATGTAGACGTTGAGCATTTTATCACGACTGATCGGGAAGCATAGACCGAATGGAAACATCCCACTGGCACTGAAAAGCAGCATGCTGGTTTATTATATAAATCTAATTAATTCGAAAATAACTTACAGCTTAAAATTCTTCCGCGCCCCTGGAAACTTTTGAGCAGCTCTGAAATACCCAATAGCCGTGTCAGAACGTTGAGGTTCCAATGAATAATGTCTTCCGATTTCTGGCTTCACCATCTGCCAGCTTTTTACCAAATCAATCACATTTGACGAATCCATAATACAGTATTTGACATATATTCTATGAATATTAGAAGCCACGATACCAAATGCCTGTCCAATGAGGATTACGGTTTTCGCTGGAGCACCTTTGCTCAACGAAAAATTGTAATCCAGCTCGAGAGACTCCAACCTTCTGAAGATCGTTGGAAAACGTTAACGTCCTAGTTTGTTTGATCGTATCGTCCTCTCGGAAGTTACAGTCTGTTTTAACATTCAAGTTTTGAACGCAGAGTCTCAGATTTAGCGGCAAATTCACATCTCCAAGAATCGACAGGTTCTTAACTTTCAAAATTTCTGCTCTTTTTTCAAAATCCTCTCAAACAGCTTCTTCTGAGCTTCAGGTAGAGGTACGGTAGTTTTAAGGAACACCGTCTTAAAACTGTGTCCGCAGAAAGTGTTCATGGAAACTTCAATGTGTTCTCCAGAATGATATTTTTTGACATAGAAGCTAGTATTATTGATTTTGACACTATGCGTTGTAATCTCAACGTTGGCGGCTTCGTCCGGGCATCGTTGATCAGTTCTACGGAGGGCAGGACATTTTTCGGAGAGAAGGATTCTGGAAAATGCGCTCTATTGTACACTATTTTATTGAGATAGACTAACCTATTGGCAAGATCCATTCGATCCATCACAGTTGGCCAGAGGTCATAGAGAAGTGGTCGGGACATTATTGGTCTGGAAATGGGAAGGGTAAGATGAGATATTTTGTGGACGAATCCCGTAGGGTCCAGAGGCAAACGGCTGAAACGCGAGCAGAAAAACTGTCGAAAAGTGCGGAAAAATCAATAAAAGACGCACTAAAGAATGTGTACCTGTCGTTGAGAAGGATGAAACAACGAATGAATGAATAGTCGGAATGAGGAGTGTCTTATGATGCAGACCATCCTTCCCAGGAGAACCATCCCACCTAGACCTAGCTGTCTTCAGAATGTCTAGATTCTCTCCAATTATAATACAATTGATGACCTGATTGACAGTCTCGTGTCTATGTGAAAAGGAGTCCCAATCTAATCTACCGTAAACATTCTAATAGAACGACACTCGGACCCTCCACTTTGAGCCTATATATCTCACTTCTTTTGAAAGATATCAAAATGTTGTCAACTGATAAAATTATTATCCTGATATCAGCAACATTCTATTAGTTGACCACTTTTTGATATCTCTCACAGAAAATGAGATACATAAGCTCAAATTCGGCGATTCGGTAGTTCATTTCCTACCGAAGAGCATTCGCCTTCAGCTGAGCAATGTCTTAATTTCGACTTTACAATTGCAAGAGTTTTCGGAAATGGGAAGTCTAAGATTTCGCTTCTACCATTCCAACGATCATTGTTACCTTTGATTTTTTAGAAAAAAAAAATCATTTTTTCAAATTCTTTTATTGAACCCAACAAAACAAAAAACAAAGAACAGCAATTTTCAAACAAGAATTCACAATTTCGGATCAATTTTGAAGTGCATCACATATTTGTCCATTCCATCCTCATCTTTGCCAGTTTCCAAGGAGACGTTGAGCACTTTTTCGCGATTGATCGAAAAAGTGAAACCATATGTGTACAAGTCGTTGGCACTGAAAATAAAACCGATTTTTTGAGAACTTTGATTCCCGAAAACTTACAACTTAAAATTCTTCCCTCTTCCCGGAGACATTTCAGCAGCTGTGAAATATCCAATAGCCCATCACCGCGTCCAGTTTCCAATGAGTAATGTCTTCCGATCTCTGGCTGCACCATTCGCCACCTTCCCACCAGATCAATCACATTCATCCAATTCATATTACAGTTTTTGACATGGATTCTATGAATATCAGAGGCCTCGATACCGAATGCCTGTCCGACGAGGACTACGGTTTTTGCTGGAGCATCTAATCTCACTGAGAAATTGTAATCCATTTCAAGAGATTCCAATGGGAAGCTGTCTGCTGTTAGAACCTTCTGAAGATCGTTGTAAAGCGTTGATGTTCTAATTTGCTTGATCATATCGTCCTCTTGAAAGTCACAGTAAGGTCTCGCAACTTTCAAGTTTTGAACACAGAGTTTCAAATTTGGCGGGAAATTCAAATCTCCGAGAACCGACAGATTCTTTACTTTCAAAATTCCTGATCTTCTCTTCAAAATCGTTCCGAACAGCTTCTTCTTAGCTTCACGTAGGGGTACGGTAGTCTTAAGAACCACCGCCTTAGACTTTCCGCCGTCTTGGAAAACCTCCATGTGTTCTCCAGATTCATATTTTTCGACGTAGAAGCTGGTGTTATTGATTTTGACACTATTCGTTGTGATCTCAACGGTGGTGGCTTTAGCTGAGCATCGTTGATCGGTTCCACGGAATTCTGGATATTTTTGGGTGAGGAGGATTCTGGAAAATGCGCTCTATTAAACAATAATTGCTTGAAATATAATACTAACCTGTTAGCAAGATCCATTCGATCCATCACAGTTGGCCAGAGGTCAAAGATAAGTGGTCGGGACATATTTCTGTCTGGAAATTAGAAAGTTAAGAATGGGCTCATATGCAAACGGTACACAATAAAAACCCCAAGAAAAATCAATAAAAGACGCACAAAAAGAAGATGTACCTGTCGATGAGGAGGATAAAGAGAAGAATGAATAAATAGTCAAAATAGGGAGTGTGTTATGGTCCGGACCATCCTTCCCAGGAGAACCATCCCACCTGGAACCACCCCACCTGGTCTCACCTGTCTTCAGAATGTTCTGGATTCTCTCCAATTATAATACAACTACAAAGATAGTGTGATTGACAGTCTCGTGTATGTGTGAAAGGTCCCAATCTAATCTAGTTCATCATCTTCCCCAGGAGCAACCTTTTTTGAATTTCAAAAATCCAGAACCTCTATGCCACATATCATGCGCCTTTAAAGTCAAAGACTTCAAACCAAGACTGACACAAACAACTATAGGCCTATTTCACTAACATCATCTGTCGGCAAACTAATGGAGAAGATTATTCACAAACACCTTATCTCTTTTTTTGACGACAACAATCTTCTTACTAACTGCCAATTTGGATTCCGTTCCAACCGAGGAACAGAATCCCAGCTTCTTTCTTATCAAGCATTCTTGCTCAATAATCACGTTTCCAAAACTACAACGCATAGTGTGTACATTGATTTCAAAAAAGCTTTCGATACTGTTTCCTTCAAAAAGCTCATGCTTAAACTAACATATTATGGCATAGTCTCTAAAATGCATAATTGGCTTTCCTCTTTTCTCATTGGCAGAACACAACGAGTAATCGTGAATGGCGAGCTGTCCAGAGAGACGGAAGTCCTCTCGGGTGTTCCTCAAGGCTCAGTTCTCGGACCGCTTATGTTTCTCATTTTCATTAACGACATAGGAGATAACTTTTCTTCCAACTTTCTACTCTATGCTGATGACTTGAAACTATTCTCTACTAACCCACTGCATATTAAAAGTGATCTAGAAAAACTCGAAGACTGGTGTGATACATGGCAAATGAGTGTTGCACCCACTAAATGTGAAGCTATCTCTTTCTCTCATAAAAGACCTCTTAATAACACTAACAATCATTTTTCAATTAACGACGAGAGATTGCCAACTGTTCAGAGGATTCGTGATTTGGGAGTCATTCTCAATTCGTCACTGACCTTCTCTGACCACTTCGCTACCACACTCCGGAACGAATTAACATTTTCTTTAATGTTCTCCGCCGGTCTAAAATGGATATTTTCGTAAAATGTTTTGTCATCTACATTCGCCCCATTCTTGAGTATGGTACAATTGTTTTTTCCCCCCGTCCTCAAGGAGCAAATCAAGCTTCTTGAAGGCGTCCAAAAGTCATTCCTGTTCCGATGTTACAAGAAGTTCAACTATCCCTATATATCTTACTTTGATTGTCTCCGTGAACACAATTTAGAATCCTTAGAGTACCGTCGACTTCTATCCGATCTAGTTTGTATGTATAAAACTCTAGTTTCCCGGGAAATTGCAATTGCCCATAATCTATTCATTGTCCCGTTTCATCATAACCATCTAAGACGCCACCCATATTACATTCGCTGTACATTTAAAAATGCTTCAAAACTTTCTGCTCAATTTCTTACTCTCCGTATTATATCCTGCTGGAACTCGCTTCCAAAAACCGTGTTCCCACCCTTGATTTCATCCATCTCTTTTAAAACTAATTTAATTTATCTTCTTTCCTGTTCCTAGACGAACATAATTTCTAACTCATTTGTTTAATTTGTAACACATTGATTTTATAAGTGACTGATAGTCCTGAATCAAATAAATTATTATTAAAGTCAACATTCAAAATCAACTTTTTTTTGTTTATCAATGATTCTTCTGGTCGATATTTCTGATGGATACGCCAAATTTGCCGGTCCTCCGATAACTGAAAAACCGGAATTCTTAACTTTTTTTTCTTCTTTTGAGATCAATATAGTTTTATCTGGAAATAAATTACTGCGCCTGCAGGGACCATGCACCCATCTACGATTTGCATTGCATAAGACGAATGCTCTTGGGAAGGAAGTGACCTAGATTTTCACACTTTCACACATAAACGGTACTGTCAGTCACACTATCTAATGTATGAAGATTGGACAGAATCAAGGACATTCTGAAGACAGGTGAGACCAGGTGGGGTAGTTCTCCTGAGATCCATTCTGCCTACTTATTTATTCTTTTCTTTATCCTCCTTATCGACAATTACACATTTTTGTGACCGTCTTTTATTGATTAGTTCACCTTTTGTAGTCTCGGTTCCTTCAAAAATACTTTGAAAATTTCTCTTGAATTTGGTTCTAAAACTGTCGAAACATTACTAAATTTTGATAATTCAAGCCAATCCTTACCATTAACAATCAACAAATTCTATTTTTGTGTGTGTGTGTGTCCGTTTGTTCCCGGGTTGCCGATTCTAACGATGTCCCTACTGAACCAAAAATCCTCAACTTCTCACAGATAATCCGTAATAGCAGCGAGATGATGCCCAAATTTTCTTTTTTCGAAATATTGATTTCGAAGCCATCTGGAGCCGTTATCAAAATGCTGTGGAACCCAATCTTGTTCTATACGAAATCCCGTTTTACAGTACCCTCTTCCAAAAATCCAGTATTCTATTTTAACAAATTTTCAAATTTCCAGGTGTCCCGTCCACTTCTCTATGACCTCTGGCCAACTGTGATTGATCGAATGGACCTTGCCAATAGGTTGGTAGAACTCTCAATGAAGTATTGTAGAAAAGAGCGCGTGTTCCAGAATTCTTATCTCCCAAAAATGTCCAGCAATCTGCAGGATGGACCAACGACGCCCTGTTGGAGCCGTGACCATTGAGACTTCAGCGAAGTGTTTGAAAATTAATAACACCAGCTTCTACGTCGAGAAATATGACTCTGGAGAACATTTTCTGGTTTTCAAAGACGATGGGGACGCTAAGACAGTGGTCCTGAAAACTACCGTACCTGTAGATGAAGCTAGCGAGTAGCTATTCGAGACGCTCATGAAGAGAAGATCAGGAATTTTGAAAGTAAACAATCTGTCGATTATTGGAGAATTGAATTGTTTCCCGCCAAATTTGAAACTCTCCGTTCAGAACTTGAAAATTGTCAGACCTTCCTGTGGCTTTCAAGAGGCCTACTCGAAAAAAAACGCAAGAGAACTGCAAGCCTCATTGCCGATCTCCAGAAGGCTCTAACGGCGGACAGCTTCCCATTGGAATCTCTCGAAATCGATAACACTTTCGCATTGGTCTCAAGTGGGGAGGCGAAACCGTAATCACTACTAGATCCGCACGGGGAATCCAAACCTCGAATATTCGTAGAATACGTATCAAACATTGCAATATGAATCGCTTTAGAGTGATGGATTTGTTGGAGAATTGGCAGATTTCAGATCCAGAAATTGGAAGACATTATTCAATGGAAACTGGATCCTACGATTTGGTGCTGAAGTACTTTTCAGCTGCTGAACAATCTCCAGGAGCACAGATTAATGAGAGACTGTAAGTTTTTCTGAAATTCAGACATCTTGTTTCCGGAAACAGGTTTTGAAAAATCGAAATAATTTTAATATAAAAATCCATAGTTATATTTTCAGTGCCAGCGGAATGTTCCATTATGGTCTTACCTTCCCGATCAATCAAGAAAAAGTGCTCAACGTCTTCTTGGAACATGTCAAGAAGGAAAATGGAATGGAGGAATATGTGATGCATTTCAAGATTGATCCAAAATTGTAATTCTTATTGAAAATAGTTGTTCTTTGTATTCTATTCTGTTGCTTTTAATAAAACACTTTATTCAGGAGCAACTCCATTTTACTATTCCATCTACCCATTACCACTTCCTACCAAAAATTAATATCTTTCCGACTATGTGAAATCCTTTCAATAAATATTTTGTCATTTGTTGACCATTTTTTCGATATCTTCCGCATGAGCCAGGATAAAATAATGAATAGTCAGATTGAGGAGTGTCTTATGATGTGGACCATCCTAAAAAACCTAGACTTTATCGCGCCGAATACGCACCAGCTTGCTGGTTTTTACAATTGTCCGCGTTTTCGGAAACGGTAAGTCTAAGACTTTGCTTCTACCATTCCATCTACCATTTTTACCTTTGTTCCCTTTAGAAAAATCCGTTAAATTCAAATAAATTGTTTTATTAAATTCAACAAAAAAATAAAACAAAATCATCAATTTTCAATAAGAATTACAATTTTGGATCAACTTTGAAATGCATCACATGTTCTTCCATTCTATTTTCCTTCTTGACATGTTCCATGAAGACGTTGAGCACTTTTTCTTGATTGATCGGAAAGGTAAGACCATATTGGTACATTTCGTTAGCACTGAAAATAGAAAGGGTTTGTTGAGAACATTAACTTCAATTATTTTGATTAAAAGTCTCCATATCGGTCAGTCGATAATCAACGGCGCGCAAATGCACTAACTAGGTCAACCCATAATTGTGAACCGGGATTTTGCCGGGCCTTGGCATAGTGTCTCTCGGAGTCAATATTTTTGAACCACCTAATTGTAAGTTTGATATGATAAAACTTGACGAGTACTACAAAATGATACTATTTGAAAAACTGTATCTAGTTAATGAACAAAGTTACAGACGAAAAGGGACGAAAAACCAGGCCCGGCTCGGAACGTCCGGGCGAAGCTACTCTATGATCTGTAACTTTGTTCATAGACTAGATAAAATTTTTCAAATAGCATCATTTTGTGGTACTCATTGAGTTATATCATATCCAATTTAGATGGTCCAAAAATATTAACACTGGAAGAAACTATGCCAGTGCCCGCGAAGGCCCGGCAAAGGCCCGGATTACAAGTATGGGTCGAACCGAATTTCCCGATCGAATGGAAGCCTTAATTTCGATTCCCATAAGAGATATGAAAACGTTGACCAAAAACTTACAGTTTGTAATTCCTCTGTACTCCTGGAGAATCTTGAGCAGATAAGAAATATCTAAACGCTGAGCCAATCCGGTTAGATACTTCCAATGAATAATGTCTTCCGATTTCTGGCTTCGAGTTCTGCCAATTCTCCACTAAAGCCGTCACAGTCAACCAATCAATAATACAGTTTTTGACATGAATTCTGTGAATATTTGTGCTTTGGATACCGATTGCTTCTCGAGTTGTTATTACAGTTTTTGCCACACCACTTGAGACCAATGAGAAATTGTTATCAATTTCGAGAGATTCCAATGGGAAGCTGTCTGCTGTTAGAGTCTTATGTAGATTGACAATCATTCTTATAGTCCTTCTTTCCTTTTCACGGAAGACTTCTTGAAAGGGACCGTAAGGTTTTCCAACTTTCACGTTTTGAACGCAGAGTTTCAAGTTCGGTGGGGAGATCACATCTCCAAGAATCGACAGATTCTTGACATTCAACATTCCAGATCTTCTTTTCATAACCGCCTTCAATAGCTTCATCCTAGCTTCAAGTAGGGGTACGGTAGTTTTAAGGACAACAGTCTTAGAACCCCCGTTTTCTTTGGAAACCTCAATGTGTTCTCCAGATTCATATTTCTCGACTTGGAAACTAGTTTTATTGATTTTCACACTATTCGCTGTAATTTCAACGGTGTTGGCGTCAGCCCGGCATCGTTGTTCAGTTCTGCGGAGTGCTGAGCATTTTTGGATCATTAGGATCCTGGAAAGCGCGCTCTCTTGTACAAAACTTTTCGGAAACAACTAACCTATTGGAAAGTTCCATTCGCTCAATCACAGTTGGCCAGATGTCATAGAGAAGTGGTCGGGACATCTGGAAATTGGGCTTTCTAGCAGATGGTACTATAAAAATGAGATTTTAAAATGACTTGGTCCATAAGACGGCAAAAATTGAGCAATTTGAGAAATTTGAATTAATTAGAGAACGTTCCAGAGACATTGTTTGAGTCCAAAGATGGGATAAAAACCTAAAAGGTCCACAGGCAAACAGTTAAAAAAGAGCAGAAAAACTTTGAACAATGCCAAAAAATCAATAAAAGACGATGAGAAAAGGGTAACCTGTCGATGAGGAGGATAAAGAATGAAGAGTCAGAATGAGGAGTGTCTTACAATGCGGACCATCCTTCCCAGGAGAACCATCCTAATTGGAGGTCACTCTCTGATGTCACCTGAACACAAATGACGTGAGAGACAACGTCTTCTATTTTCACTGCGGAACCTAGGATACTGAAGTCTCCGGGTAATCTATTTGCATAGCCAGAAAGATTTTCATTTTTGGTTGAAATATTGGTTGGAATAATGGCTAGATGGAATAGCAAATAATGACTCTCTGGGGTTTTTTTTTGCCATTTTCTCATTTTATGTTGATTTTTCAATAAAACAAATTAAAAATTCAAATTCTACATATTCGATTACATATGGACACAAAAGTTCTTATCGGTCCATCTCTTCTAGCCGTAGTTAGGCTCAGCCCCTTTTGATTAAGATTTAACAAGAAATTTATTTCAAAAAAAAGTTTTATTAATTAAAATTAAAAAAAAAAAAAACAAAAAACAAAATTATAATGATACAGATTGATTAGTTCCATCGATTTTAAAGTTGAGCACATACTCAGATCCCTTCTTTGAACTAGTCACGAATACATTGATCTCTTTTCCATTGCCAATCGGAAAAGTGATACCATAAGATATGACGTCAGTGGATCTGAAATTATTATTTTTTGAATTATTCTGAGCACCTACAGTAAGACTTACAGTGCAAAAGTAACATGAGCATCTGGACGCATTTCAATCGTTCGGAAAACCCACTGTGCCCATGAAAGATTATCAGTTGCCAATGAGAAATGTCGCCCAACTTCTGGTTTCGTCAATTGCCATTTTTCCACAATTCTCACGGGTTCCAGAAAATGAGTTCTGGTATTTTGAACATGAATTCGATGGGATCCGCATTCCTCGATTCCATGAGCATATTTATGGACGAGCAAGGTTTTAGCAGAATTTGTGACAGAATGACTCATCAGAACACATGTTCCAAGATCCATAGATTCCAATGGATGACTCAGAATTCCATTGATTTCATTTAAGAAATCTCTAGTCTCTAGTACTGTATTGGCATATGTTTCAAAATGAGATTGATAAGGGGACACCCAAAGATTTCGAATTTTAATCTTCAAATCACTCGGCCATGAAACATCTTCTCTTCTGAATTCTCGATCTAAGATAAGAGTATTGATATCCAATTTTCTATGGAAAAATGCCAAAAATAGTTGTTGTTTAGCTTGAGACACGGGGACCTCGGTTTTGAGAATGATGGTTCTGGAAGGATCAGAATCGGATCCAGAAGTTTCCATGTATTCTCCTGATTCATATTTCTTGACAATGAATTTCGTATCGTTCACTTTGACACCCATTTCAGTGACATGAATTCTTTCGACTCTGGCTGGACATCTTTTGTCGGTTAGGCGGATTTTGGGATATTTTAAAGAGAGCAGAGTTCTGGAATAGAGGATTTTGAAGATCGTAAAGTCAGTGGCTTCGATTTTTGACTATTGAAGGTTCTCCGTAAATTGAACTTCATAGCTATACGGTAGCAAAGTTGAAAAAACCAAACCTGTTGCCTAAATCCATGTACTGCATCACTGGTGGCCACATATCGTAGTTGAGAGGTTTCGACATTTTTTTTGATCTGAAAATTTCAATTCACAAAAAAAGAAGTGGAAAGTTAACATAGAGACCAGGCAAAAAATGTTTATGATTCAAATTGGAACAGAAAAATCAATGAAAGAATTAAGAAAACTGGAGAGGACGACAACGAAAATGAGGAACATGAACTGAATGAGTCCTTTGACGGATTGGACGGAAGGGATGGACCAGGTGAACCCAGATGACGTGAAGTGGCAGAATTCTTCTTTCTCGGGGGAAAAACTCCAAGACAAGGTGAAGACGTAAGGAGCAAACATTGATGGGTGGAACAAAAGAAGACGTCACTTGCCAGGAGGCAATATGAGATCCCCAACATTTACCGTAACCATTGACAATGGTGAAGATACTCCAAACAAACGCTTAACTTCGAGTCAATGTATCTCGTTTCCTTTAAAAGATATCAAAAAGTTGTAAACTAATAAAATATTTCTGATATTATAGTAAACATTTCGTTAGTTAACCACTTTTTGATATCTTTCACATGAACCGAGATAGTTTGGCTCAAAGTTGAATGTTCAGGGGAGCGGTATCTGTGATCAACGATTAATTCGAATTCAATCTAAAAAACATCGAAATTACAGTTTTCAGAAACTCTTTTCTGGTTTTTTTCAGATTTGTTTTTTGGCAAAAAAATTTTTCTGTGCCTTTTTGCGTCGCGGTGTTTGCACAGCTCTTGTCGACCGTAACCCTTTCGAATTTGGTCCGATATTTGAAAAATGCGCAGGTATCAGAATAATGTGCCAGAATTTGGAGTTTTGAGGCTCTCTAGGATGATAAGAGCGGAAATGTGACTTCTCCTGATAGTTTTGGCTCCATTTCTTTGTTGTCTTTCTTATGGGCCCCAATTTACATACGTATAAGCAAAACGTCGGCAAACACTAATGCCTCCGTGAATAAGCTTTCTCTCAGGCTTAGATAGTTTTCAGAAAATATGCATCTCTAAGCCTATTAGAAGTATCTTACTTATATATAAAACGCTAGACGTGTCTGTTGGTCCTAGTGTCCGGCTGTCCGGTTTTGGGTTGCTGCAATAAAGAAATCTAAAAAAATGAGAAAATCTCAAATCCCGAAACACAAAAAATCCTATCCCAATCCCACGAACAAAAAAACCTTAAATCCCAATTTCCACGTGAACTTTTATATCAACACAGTCTCCTTGTTCGCCACGTGTCACCACCCCTACGGGCGGCTCAAAATCAGTCAGTCTAAACTGAAATTTCTCAACGAATCAACTTCTTATCTCACACAGATTGGTTTTAGTTTCCGATACGAACAATTCAAATGATTCGAGGTTGGTTTTGTCACCATTTTGAGCACGATTTCTTAAATTTAGGCATCAAAAATATTGAAAATCACTCTTTGTTTTTTGGTATTTTTTGCTGAAATTTTTGAATTGGAAGTCTTATTTGAAATTAGTGCACGTTGCGAGCGGATACCTAGATAAATTGCTCTTAAACGCGCAAGAGCGAAAACTACCGTACTTTGAGCCTATTTCAAATATTTTTTTTTCAATTTTTCGACGATTTTCATCGTTTTTATTCGAGCTAAAAAGACTCAAAAACATGAAAATCGTCAAGGAAATTGTGAAAATAGGCTCAAAGTACGGTAGTATGCGCCTTGAAAGGTGGGGAGACATGAAAAAAATAAATTTCTCGAAATTCCGTTTAAATATGCCCCTCGAGGACTTGAACTTGTGGGGGCGATGATTGAGGGTGCGGCGCCGCTACCGACTGAGCCACGCGGGCAGAGAGAAAGCGGCCGCCCGGTTGCAAACATAAGGGCGAGGACGACAGCTGTACGCAGAGTGACATTAAGCGTTGTACACCGTGACGGTAAACTTTTGGCTCAATTTTCCGAGTTTTTTTTCTGAAAAATAGCTTAATAGTCACAAAAATCAAATTTTCAACTTTTTTTCCAGTTATCGTCAATAAATGGATGTTCCTCCTCGCGTTGCTCATCATCATGCTGGCCGCAATAACAGCTGACACAGAAGACGAGGAACTTCTGGAAGATGGAAAACGGAATGTGCAGTTTCCTGAGGACACTATAGAAGGAATTCGTCATGCTCGAGCAAGATCTAAAAAGAAGAATAAAGCAGGTAACTGAAATTTTGAGAATTCTAAAAAAATTATTTAAAGTTCAAAATTTCCGAGAACACTAAAATCTGAAAATTCAGAAATTCATTTTTCTAAAATTCTATTTTCATTTCCTAAAATTCTATTTTTTAAACCTTGATTTTCTGAATTTCGGAATTTCTGAATTTCAGAAATTTTCAGAAAAAATTTCAATTTCAGAAAAAAAAAATTCAGAAATTCAGAAATTCGGAAATTCAGAAATTCAGAAATTCGGAAATTCAGAAATTCAGGAATTCAGAAATTCAGAAATTCAGAAATTTAGAAAGCAGAAATTCAGAAATTTAGAAAGCAGAAATTCAGAAATTCGGAAATTCAGAAATTCAGAAATTCAGAAATTCAGAAATTCGGAAATTATGAAATTCGGAAATTTAGAAATTCGGAAATTTAGAAATTCGGAAATTCAGAAATTCGGAAATTCGGAAATTCGGAAATTCAGAAATTTAGAAATTCGGAAATTCGGAAATTCAGAAATTCGGAAATTTAGAAATTCGGAAATTCGGAAATTCAGAAATTCGGAATTTCGGAAAAGAGCAATTTTTCATGGGTTAAAAACCGAGAAGATTAGAAATTACTGTATATGCTTTTTATTATCACTGATTCGTTCTTTCGGCAGCTCCGAAGCCGACCAAGAAGACCACCACGAAGCCAACCACAAAACCCACTCCGAAACCCACTACGAAGCCCACTACGAAGCCAGCACCTCTCCCCCCAGTCTATGAACCACCACACGAAAATCTCCCCGACGATTTTTCTTGCCAAAATCTTGGAGAAAAATATAAGGGATGCGAGTACCTGTGTCAGCAGCTGGCGTCGATGGGAGACCCCCCGAAGACTGCAAAAGACCACAGATATCTAATTGGAGTCGTTCTAATTGTGACTTGCACGCCTACTATCATCATTCTCTACATTTTAACAAGAACAATGAAAAGGGAACTGGACGAATTGAACAAGCAGACGCCACCGCCCACAGATGATATAAATGCGAAGATGCAGGTTGCTTATGCTGCTGCTCTGAAGGTTAAGGATCCGAAAAATCCGGAGAAGATGGAGGAAGTTGATGCATCACCGGAGGACAAGAAACATGCAACAAGAGCGAAGCTTCTGGAAGCACATCAGAATCTGCAACGGCTAAGGACGCATGCGAAGAAGTGTGCAGAAGGATCTTAGAATATCAGAATATCCTAATCTCAGAATCTCAGAATCTCAGAATCTCAAAATCTCAGAATCTCAGAATCTCAGAATCTCAGAATCTCAGAATCTCCAAATCTCAGAATCTCAGAATCTCACAATCTTTAGAATCTTGGAATCTCAGAATTTCAGAATTCCAGAATCTCAGAGTCTCAGAATCTCAGAATCTCAGAATCTCAGAATTTCAGAATCTCAGAATCTCAGAATCTCAGAATCTCAAAAACTCAGAATCTCAGAATCTCAGAATCTCAGAATCTCAGAATCTCAGAATCTCAGAATCTCAGAATCTCAGAATCTCAGAATCTCAGAATCTCAGAATCTCAGAATCTCAGAATCTCCAAATCTCAGAATCTCAGAATCTCAGAATCTCAGAATTTCAGAATCTCAGAATCTCAGAATCTCAGAATCTCAAAAACTCAGAATCTCAGAATCTCAGAATTTCAGAATCTCAGAATCTCAAAATCTCAAAATCTCAGAATCTCAAAATCTCAGAATCTCAAAATCTCACAATCAGAATTTCAGAATCTCAGAATCTCAAAATCTCAGAATCTCAAAATCTCAGAATCTCAAAATCTCAGAATCTCAAAATCTCAGAATCTCAAAATCTCAGAATCTCAAAATCTCAAAATCTCAAAATCTCAGAATCTCAGAATCTCAGAATCTCAGAATCTTTAGAATCTTTAGAATCTTGGAATCTCAGAATCTCAGAATTCCAGAATCTCAGAATCTCAGAATCTCAAAAACTCAGAATCTCAGAATCTCAGAATCTCAGAATCTCAGAATCTCAGAATCTCAGAATCTCAGAATCTCAGAATCTCAGAATCTCAGAATCTCAGAATCTCAGAATCTCAGAATCTCAGAATCTCAGAATCTCAGAATCTCAGAATCTCAGAATCTCCAAATCTCAGAATCTCAGAATCTCAGAATCTTTAGAATCTTGGAATCTCAGAATCTCAGAATTCCAGAATCTCAGAATCTCAGAATCTCAGAATCTCAGAATCTCAGAATCTCAGAATCTCAGAATCTCAGAATCTCAGAATCTCCAAATCTCAGAATCTCAGAATCTCAGAATCTCAGAATTTCAGAATCTCAGAATCTCAGAATCTCAGAATCTCAAAAACTCAGAATCTCAGAATCTCAGAATTTCAGAATCTCAGAATCTCAAAATCTCAAAATCTCAGAATCTCAAAATCTCAGAATCTCAAAATCTCACAATCAGAATTTCAGAATCTCAGAATCTCAAAATCTCAGAATCTCAAAATCTCAGAATCTCAAAATCTCAGAATCTCAAAATCTCAGAATCTCAAAATCTCAGAATCTCAAAATCTCAAAATCTCAAAATCTCAGAATCTCAGAATCTCAGAATCTCAGAATCTCAGAATCTTGGAATCTCAGAATCTCAGAATTCCAGAATCTCAGAATCTCAGAATCTCAGAATCTCAGAATCTCAGAATCTCAGAATCTCAGAATCTCAGAATCTCAGAATCTCAGAATCTCAGAATCTCAGAATCTCAGAATCTCAGAATCTCAGAATCTCAGAATCTCAGAATCTCAGAATCTCAGAATCTCAGAATCTCAGAATCTCAGAATCTCAGAATCTCAGAATCTCAGAATCTCCAAATCTCAGAATCTCAGAATCTCAGAATCTTTAGAATCTTGGAATCTCAGAATCTCAGAATTCCAGAATCTCAGAATCTCAGAATCTCAGAATCTCAGAATCTCAGAATCTCAGAATCTCAGAATCTCCAAATCTCAGAATCTCAGAATCTCAGAATCTTTAGAATCTTGGAATCTCAGAATCTCAGAATTTCAGAATCTCAGAATCTCAAAATCTCAAAATCTCAGAATCTCAAAATCTCAGAATCTCAAAATCTCACAATCAGAATTTCAGAATCTCAGAATCTCAAAATCTCAGAATCTCAAAATCTCAGAATCTCAAAATCTCAGAATCTCAAAATCTCAGAATCTCAAAATCTCAGAATCTCAAAATCTCAAAATCTCAAAATCTCAGAATCTCAGAATCTCAGAATCTCAAAATCTCAGAATCTAAATTTCTGAATTTCTATACACAAAATTCAGAATCAGAAGTGTTAACGTATTTCGTTGATGTCATCGAGATTCGTCATCCAAACATAAGTTGGATGATGAATCTCGATGACAAATCACAATATTTTGGTTTAAAAAACGTATATAAAAACCGTCGAGAGCCACAATTGATATATCTTTTTATTGTTTCACTTTAACTTTTTCCTTTTTTATCTTTTCTTTGTTTATAAATAAAAGGTTTAATTACCCAAGTTTGAGATATTCACAAGGTGAGAGATTACTTGGAATCTCTCATCTTGACATGGCGACCACTCGACCTACCACCGCCGTCAGCTCCAGCAGCAGTGGAAAGTTGCGGAGCCAAATTGGACAAACCAAAAGGAGAATTTCGGAGCACTTGTTGGACAAAGTACCCGGAACGGATTCAATCAATGGCTACAATGCTGAAGATACATACGACTCCCTCCAGAAATCCCCAGAATCTCAGAATCTCAGAATCTCAGAATCTAAGAATCTCAGAATCTCAGAATCTTAGAATCTCAGAATCACAGAATCTCAGAATCCCTCTAAACTTTCTATCCGTTCCACTTTACGATTTCTCAGAAATGTTCCTCTTCAAATTGCTCATCCTGAGCACCACTGACACTTTACTGAACACAAAATCCGAGAGAAACTCATCAATCTTTTTTTCTCTAATTCTCTTACTCTTTCACTTTTGAACTTCTTCGTTGCGATTTTCTTTTCATCATACTTTTCCTATGGCGTCGTGTCTTTAGATGTCTCAATACTGATTTTTTTCGAACTTCAATTTTACTATTTACCCTAATTATTTATTCTTCTGTCTGAAATCTATATGTGATAAAACTCAATATGATTTTAATTAACGGTGAGTAATTTTAATAATTTCTGAGACAGATTTTGAAACAAAAAATGCGACTTTTTAAAATTTTCCATTTTTTTTTGAAATGTTAAAAAATTTTTACTTTCAAATTTCCATTTCTCCAAAAAAAAATTCTCTTTTGTCTAGAAGAATGTCTAGAATTTTTGAGTTAAAATTTCCAGATATTAAAAAATTGAATTTCTGAATTTTCAATCTTCTGAAAAAAAAATATTTTGAGAAAACTAAAAAAAATTGGAATATCTTTGAAAATTCATATTTTCTCGATTTTCAATGATTTCGAAGCTTTGAGTGTCTGAATTTTTGAAATTTAAGAATTTCGGAGTTTCAGAATTTCAGAATTCCTGAATTCCACGAATTCGAAAAAAGCAGTCTTGAAAGCTTCAAAAATTGTATTTATGAATTTATTTCTTAAAATTTGAAATTTCGAAAATGCAATACAGGCCGGGCCGGACCGGTGGAGGAATTTTCACTGGCTCGGCCCGGCCCTGGCCCGGCCCGGCCTTGGCCTTAAGAAGGGTCATGGAATAAATTTCGTGCTTTAAAATGATTATTTTGACAAAAATTATCAAAATTGTTCTCCAGCCCGGCCCGGGCCAGGCCGAGATTTAGCAAGTATGGAAAATGCGTCTGTAATTCGAGAATTCTAGGATTTCAGCAAACACAGAATTGAACGATTTTTCTGAAAATTCGTAAATTTCAGAACAGAAAAGGGAACCGAAAGCAATTTGCAATGCTGAATGGCAATGTGGTTCAGGTCGCTTCTCCAAAGAATCAGAAGACGTCACCTAGGATTCAGAAGATGATTTTATTGAGGAAAAGATGACCAATATCGTGCAACGACATCAGAACTGTGCCAATCATAAGAGCGAATCAAGAATGGTAAGCTTTAATTTCGAATTTTTCAAATTTTGAACAATTTTTAAGAGAAATTCCAATTTTAAGATTTTCCGCCAAACTTTAGCAAGACGTCAAGAAATTCGGATATATAGAAAAAAAAGTGAGTTTTTCTTGGAGTTCCAAAATTTTTGAAATTTTGAAAATCTAAGATTCTAATATTCTAAAATTCTGAAAGTCAGAATTTCAAAAAAGCGTCTTTTCCAGAAAGTTCGTCCAATCTCCAAACCGTCACCGGGAGTGTCGTGACCGACCAGTTGTTAGAAATAGACTCTAGCTCAATTTAATTGTTAAACTATTTCAATTGTTTTGTTATTGTAGTACTTATGGTGCATCGGATCAAATCTTGTGTGTAAAATTTTTTTTAGAATAAAAGGTTTTTTAGATTTGATTATTTCGAGAATATTCCAAAATTTAGAAATTCAGGTATTCAGAAATCCTGACGTTATTCAAGAATAAAATTACTCAGAGCATTCGAAGATTCAGGATATTGAGAATTTAAAGATTATCACAATTCTGGGATTGAAAAAATGTGAAAATCAAAAAAAAAATCGGAAATTCAAAAGTTCTAAATTTATCAGAACCCAGGGACCCAAGGACCCAAGGACCCATTTTCCCGAATTCTAGGATTTTCGGATTCCCGGATTTCCGGAGTCCCGGATTTCTGGATTCTCCGAATTCTCGGATTTCCGGATTGCTGGACTCCCGGATTTCCAAATTTTTCGGATTCCCGGATTCCCGAAATCCGGGATTTTCGGATTCAGGATTCCCGGATTCCCGGATTCCCGGATTCCCGGATTCCAGGACTCCCGGATTCCCGGAGTCCCGGATTCCCGCATTCCAGGATTCCCGGATTCCCGGCTTCCAGGATTCCCGGATTTCCGGATTCCCGGATTTCCGGATTGCCGGACTCCCGGATTTCCAAATTTTCCGGATTCCCGGGTTCCCGAAATCCAGGATTTTCGGATTCCCGGATTTCCGGATTCCCGGATTCCCGGATTCCCGGATTTCTGGATTCTCCGAATTCTCGGATTTCCGGATTGCTGGACTCCCGGATTCCCGGAGTCCCGGATTCCCGCATTCCAGTATTTCCGGATTCCAGGAGTCCTGGATTCCCGGATTTCCGGATTCCCAGATTTCTGGATTCCAGGATTCCAGGATTCCTGATTTTCCGGATCCTTTGCCTGGGTCCCATTTCTAGAGCCCAGAGCAACCGAGAACTGATTTTTCTTTTCATTTCCCTCTTCATTTATAGTAATCTTCAAAGGTCAATGGGGGGGGGGGGGTATATCACGTAGTTTTTTTCTTCTAAATTTGCAAAGTTTTCATTTCTTTGCCACGCTGAAAATCTACAATCAGTATTTTTCTCAACGTTTAAAAAATTTTTTAATTTTCATTTTTAAAATCTAGGAAAAAAGGATAATCATTTTGTCCCTAATTATCTCGTTTCCTGTTCGAGATATCGAAAAATGTTTCACTAATAAAATGTTTCTGTTATTAAGGCAAACGCTTTTGTAGTTGAAAATTTTTTGATATCTTTTGAAGGAACCGCAAAAAGGGTGTTCAATGTTGGCTCCACATAGAATTATGTACATCTCATTTCCTATAAAAGATATCAAAAAGTGGTCAACTAACAAAAATTCCAAAACATTTGAATTTTACTAATTACTACCTAGCTTTTTTCTCTTTTTTTTAATATTTTCTAGTCGTTGGACCTCTTTTTTCAAAAATCTCTTTTCTCGAAAATCACCGATTCAATGAACATTTCCATCAAGTGTCACATTATAAATCTATCAGACCGCTAAGTATATCCTCCAGCTCAAGAGGATTTGACTAATAAAATTGAAGGTCTCCAAAAATCATCCTTTATGGATGATACTTCACCACAAGATAAAAAATGTGCAATTATCTTCTACGCTTTTTGTTTCTGAGTATCCTGTAGAAGAGCCTTCTATGATACTCATTTCTGGGCAGCCAGGAAACTTTACATTCTCACAAACTTTTGATATTTCTTGGGAGGAATGTATATTGAAATGTTTAGCAGATGCTATGTGTGCAGTAAGTTTTTCTTCTATTTTTTACTCAAAAAATTTTTCTAACATGTGGCACACAAAATTTCGGATATTCGATGTCAGTGTTTTCTATTTGAGAATCTTCGATCCCTTCAGCAGGTTGATTCCGGAGGTTCTGAAATATCTTTAAAGGTAATCTCCTACAAACTTCTTACATGATAGGATGTTTTAAACTTCAATTTTTAGATTCAGCTACTACAGAATCAATGTCCAGCTTTCAATCCTTTGGCTCTTGGACCCAATTATTTGACTCAAACAATCAATAGTCTACTTTTCAAAACTACAGTATCTTCTTCTAACCATATCTACAATCTGACCTACAGTCTCTTTATCTGCCCAAAAAACACAAAACATTTCCAAAAAGGAGAGACTACTGTAGTTTGTATTGGTCTTTTCTTTTTCGAAGAACCTCCTTGTAATAATCAAGCGGAAGCATCTGCACTTTGTAAAGCACATTTGTAAAGCACATAATGGTACACTGACTGGTCCAGCGAACTCTGATGAGTATGATTACATGCAAGGTATAAGGCGAAAATTTCAGGTACAGTACCGGTGCATAAGATATAGAAAAAACGTTAATTATAAAATAGACGAAATTCCCCCACAATTCTGTTTGAAAATCACACTTCTAGCGCTTCTAGGAACCGAGATAGAGCCGCTTCAAGTTTAGAAGGCGACGAGACGCAGGCGACGAGACACGCTGCGTCTCTAACTTCGGAAACTTCAAATGACCGTATCTCGAGTTCTAGATGAGCTAGGAAGTTGGTTCTTGGACAGAATTGAACGATTTTAGATTATTTTAGATTATTTATGAAACGGATTTTAGATTATTTATAAAAATAGTCTTGATATTCTATTCTTTTTTTTAAATTAGAATCGTTCTTTATTTTAAGCCATTTTTCATCATTTTAGGAACTGGAACCAAATATTATTCTGTTTTTAATCTATTTTTTCTGAATTTTCGAGTCAACTTTCATGAAAGCGGATTCAAGTTTAGAAGACTAGAGACGCAGACGACGAGACACGCTGCGTCTCTAACCTCGGAAACTTCAAATGACCGTATCTCGATTTCTAGATTAGCTAGGAAATTGGTTTTTGGACAGAATTGCATGGTTTGAACTGGGATTTTAGATTTTGTATTTGCATTTTGGAATCAAAACCTTATGTATGAACAATCTAAAAGAAAACTAGGAATTTTCAAAAAAAAATTCTGTAAATGCAAAGTTTTTAATCTAGGTCTGTTTCAACCCTTCAATCAGCCGAGATCCAGGCCGCTGAAAATGACCAAAATTAACTGAAAAAGTATGTTTAACTGTATGTTTTCAGATATATCCAACTCCTCCAAGTACACCTCTAACCCCGACTCATACAACTATTTGACCTATTGGATAGACGGTATGAGTACCGACACTGAATTCCTATTCGAAGACCTTACTCACAATGGAAGTACTAATTATCCGTGGTCTGGAGGCACACCACAAAAGTGAGAGAGTGAGAGAACTAGAGAAAAAGATTGATGGGCGTCTCTCTCATTTCCCGTTTAGTTTTTATAGTGTCAGGTGGTGCTCAGGATCTCAAATTTCTGTTTAATAAAGTGCCTGGGGCCAGCTGGTGGTCATGCAGAGAAAACGATTTTTTGAACTCAGAAATTTTGGAATTTTGAAAATTCGAAATTCTCAGAATTCTGAAAATTCTTAAATCATGAGAATAAAATACTAGAATTTAAAAAAAATCTAAAATCTTGAAATTTCAGACTTTTGAAGGAAATGAAGCTTCCAAAGAAAGGATGAGGATCACCAGCTACTCTCTCAGCAAGCTCACAAAGAAAATCCGGTGATGGGAGCCAATCGAGGAGAACATTGATGGAAACCACTTATCTGAAGAGCACCGACTGAGCGAACCAATCTAGGAATTCTGCTCATACATGCCGTACCCAAAGGAAAAGTTCCACGTCAACGGCGTCGACATAGAGAGTGACGACTACACCAACGTCTTCAACTTCTTCCAAGCCTCTCCCCGCGGATACGCAGTGCTCAATGTCTGTCTGTAGAAACGTCTTTATAATTTCTGAATTTCTGAATTTCTGAATTTCTGAATTTCTGAATTTCTGAATTTCTGAATTTCTGAATTTCTGAATTTCTGAATTTCTGAATTTTTGAATTTCTGAATTCTGAATTTCTGAATTTCTGAATTTCTAAATTTCTGAATTTCTGAATTTCTGAATTTCTAAGTTTCTGAATTTCTGAGTTTCAGGATTTCTGAGTTTCTGAATTTTTGAATTTCTAAGTTTCTGAATTTCTAAGTTTCTGAATTTCTAAATTTCTGAATTTCTGAATTTCTAAATTTCTGAATTTCTGAATTTCTGAATTTCTGAATTTCTGAATTTCTGAATTTCTAAGTTTCTGAATTTCTGAGTTTCTGAATTTCTGAGTTTCTGAATTTCTCCAAATTTTAACTGTTTGATTTCTGATATTTGGATTTCTGATTTTAGATTTATGAGTTTCTAGAATTTTTAGCAGCTGATTTTTTTTCAAAGCACCGGTTTTTGAAATGAAAATTTATTTTTGCATTTCGGAGAAATCTGAATCGTGAAAAATGGAAAAAAAGAGAAATCCAGAAATTCATGATTCGTAACTCACTCGATTTCTCTCTAATGTCCTTTTTCCGATTGCTTTCCTGACAACTACCAACTGGCGCCCTGCACTTTACTGAACGAAGCACCAGCTGGCGCCATAGTGAACGGAAATGAGAGAGACGCCCATCACTCTTTTTCTCTAATTCTCTCACTCTCTCACTTTTCCGTTTTTCCTTACGTTTTTTTTTTCATTTTAATTTTTTGATGACGCCGTGTGTAGCCGTCTCTATACTGTTTTTTAAAGATTTGATTTTCCTGATTATCCTAATTATCTATTCAAATTGGTCTATGTAGTACTTTCTGTATAATTCTTCGAAGTTCAATAAAATAAAGGTGAGCAATTTTTTAAATTTGAGAATAATTTTTTGAGACTTTCAGAAAAAAATATTTTTTAAAAAAGCTGAAATTCCAATATTCAAATTTTTAAAAGAATTCTGAGAAATATTCGAATTCCTCAGATTTCAACAACTTTGAAAACTCTGAAATTCAAAAAGTCTGAAAGTTCTGAAATTCTAAACATTCGGAATTCTCAGAATTTAAAAATCCTAATTATTGAAAGAATTCCTGAAAGTTTTTCTAAAAATGGGATATTTGGAAATAACTTGAATTTATGAAAATCTGAAAGTCTGTAGTTTTGAAAATTCTGAAATTCTGGAATTCCAGAAAAAATCTAGATATTTTAGGGAATTCAGATTTTCAAAACTTAAGAATTTTCGAATTTTCGAATTTTCGAATGTACACGAATTCAGATTTTGAAGACGTTATTACGAATCAGAATCTTGTGACAAAAACTACGAAATTTGCGGTTTTGAGTCTGATTCTGATATTTTTGCAGAGAAAACGATTTTTTGAATTCAGAATCTTTGGAATTTTGAAAATTCGAAATTCTCAGAATTCTGAGAATTATAAAATCATGAGAATAAAATACTAGAATTAAAAAAAAAATCTAAAATCTTGAAATTTCAGACTTTTGAAGGAAATGAAGCTTCCAAAGAAAGGATGAGGATCACCAGCTACTCTCTCAGCAAGCTCACAAAGAAAATCCGGTGATGGGAGCCAATCGAGGAGAACATTGATGGAAACCACTTATCTGAAGAGCACCGACTGAGCGAACCAATCTAGGAATTCTGCTCATACATGCCGTACCCAAAGGAAAAGTTCCACGTCAACGGCGTCGACATGGATTCTGACGACTACACCAACGTCTTCAACTTCTTCCAAGCCTCTCCCCGCGGATACGCAGTGCTCAATGTCTGTCTGTAGAAGGTGAGTTACAGTAATCCACTTCAGGGGAAGAGATCTGATTTTTTTATTTTTTACAGGAATTCTCGATCAGCTGCCTTTGCAAAAGAGATGGATGCAACTAGCCAAAGGGATTCACATCGTTCCTGGAATTCAACAAACGCCCGATGTCAGAAATGTCTTTCTACATTTTTTTTCTCAATTTCATGCCAACGGAACATTACACTTTTTGAATAAAATTTTTTTTAATAAACAATTTTTTCATTTAGTATTTTGATTGAGTAACACAATTTTCCAAAGTCATTCCAATCTGTTTAGAAAAAATCTATAGAGGAATTTTGAAAGAAAAACTTCTAAAACATTCAATTGTCAAAATTAACTTTTAAGCTGAAAATTAGTTTTTTGTATTTCTAAATATCTGAATTTCTAAATATCTGAATTTCTAAATATCTGAATTTCCGAATTTCTGAATTTCCGAATTTCTGAATTTCTGAATTTCTGAATTTCCGAATTTCGCATTATGATTTTTGAATTTTTTTAAAGTCAGCAATTCATGAATCATAAATCCTGAGGCCTTTTTTCTCTACACTATACGAAAAGTGCTCGCCGAATCAAAGTGCTCGCCACCGAGCCACTCAGCACCAACTGACACTAAACAATAAAAAGAGAGCGAAACCCATCTTTTTTTTCTTTTCTAGTTCTCTAACTCTCTCACTCTCTCACTTTTCCCCCCTCCCCCCAGATTTTTCTCATTTTATTCCCCAATGACGCCATGTGTAGACGTCTCCGAATTGATTTTTCTCGAATTTCTAATATTTTCCTAATTACTCTAATTATCTATTTCAATTAATCTCTAGTTAGAATTCTGTAGAATTCCTCCAAGTTGCGTCAGCATTAACAGGTGAGCGAATGTTTTTTGACATTTTTAGAAAATTAGTTTTTTTTCAATAAAAACTCTGAAATTCTGAATTTCTGCAAAAATTCTGAAATTCTGAGGTTCAAAAAATTCAGCCATTTCTTGGATTTTGAGTTTCGGCTTTTTCGAATTTCTGAAATTTTATACGAAAAATTCAAAAACCGAAGACTTTTTTTTTAGCAATTCTCAAGAAAACAAAAAGAATTGTACACGGATTCTTATTCTGAAGACTTTATTACGAATCAGAATTTTGGTATGAAAACTGCAAAATTTTGGGTTTTTGATTTGAAATTCAGAAATTCCAGGAAATTCAGGAATTCCAGGAATTCCAGGAAATTCAGAAATTCCAGGAAATTCAGAAATTCAGAAATTCAGAAATTCAGAAATTCAGAAATTCAGAAATTCCGAAATTCAGAAATTCAGAAATTCAGAAATTCTAGAAAATTCAGAAATTCCAGGAAATTGAGAAATTCCAGGAAATTCAGGAATTCCAGGAAATTCAGAAATTCAGAAATTCAGAAATTCAGAAATTCAGAATTTGAGAAATTCAGAAATTCAGAAATTCAGAAATTCAGAAATTCAGAAATTCAGAAATTCAGAAATTTAGAAATTCAGAAAGGCTTGAAGTTCGAAATGCAGGTTATAGGATTTTAGGATTTTGAATTTTTCGAATGAATTCCTGAATTTCAGTGTTTTTCGGATATCAGAATCTTAGAATCTTGGAATCCTTCAATAATCTAAAATTATGAAAGTTCCGAAAATTCTAAAAAATCTTATCTCGTTTAGAATGCGCCTTTCATTTGTGCTCGGTTGTCAAAATGCCGTTCCATGGTGCTACACCATCCAATTGCTTGAATTAGATTCGTAAGTTACGGTATCAGTCGAATCATTTTATCTTTTATTTCAGCAAATTGATATAATTGGTAGTGTATCTGCTTGCGAACTAGTTATTAATTAAGCACGACTGCGGTCTCGAGATCAGAAGCAATCGATCAGCTTGTCATTTGGAGAATTTTTGGGAGTGATTGATTCGAATTCATTCAGTAAGTTTCACACAGTTTGAATCAAATCTTGAATTTTTTTAATTTTCAGATAAGCAATGTCAGAGCAATGCACACTTGCACAGTTTCGAATCCCACGTCAGAAGATGTTTCAAAGTTTTCCTATTCAAGTTCATCTGTTTACAAAATTCTTAATAAATGTTTTTTTTTTGTTTGAAATAAGCCCATTATCCATCATAATAAGTTTCAGAATTTCTAGTTTTGGAATTCCCGAATATCAGTATCTCAGAATTTCGAAACCTCAGAATTCCAGAATCTCCGAATCTCAGAATTTCGGAATCTCAGAATTCCAGAATCTCAGAATCTCAGAATTCCAGTATCTCAGAATTTCGACATCTCAGAATTCCAGAATTTCAGAATCTCAGTATCTCAAAATCTTTAGAATCTCAGAATCTCAGAAGCTCAGAATCTCAGAATCTTAGAATCTTGGAATCTCAGAATCTCAGAATCTCAGAATCTTTAGAATCTTGGAATCTCAGAATCTCAGAATTTCAGAATCTCAGAATTTCAGAATCTCAGAATTCCAGAATCTCAGAATCTCAGTATCTCAGAATCTTTAGAATCTCAGAATCTCAGAAGCTCAGAATCTCATAATCTTAGAATATCAGAATATCCTAATCTCAGAATCTCAGAATCTCAGAATCTCAGAATCTCAGAATCTCAGAATCTCAGAATCTCAGAATCTCAGAATCTCAGAATCTCAGAATCTCAGAATCTCAGAATCTCAGAATCTCAGAATCTCCAAATCTCAGAATCTCAGAATCTCAGAATCTTTAGAATCTTGGAATCTCAGAATTTCAGAATTCCAGAATCTCAGAATCTCAGAATCTCAGAATCTCAGAATTCCAGAATCTCCGAATCTCAGAATTCCAGAATCTCCGAATCTCAGAATTTCGGAATCTCAGAATTCCAGAATCTCAGAATCTCAGAATTCCAGTATCTCAGAATTTCGACATCTCAGAATTCCAGAATTTCAGAATCTCAGTATCTCAAAATCTTTAGAATCTCAGAATCTCAGAAGCTCAGAATCTCAGAATCTTAGAATCTTGGAATCTCAGAATCTCAGAATCTCAGAATCTTTAGAATCTTGGAATCTCAGAATCTCAGAATTTCAGAATCTCAGAATTTCAGAATCTCAGAATTCCAGAATCTCAGAATCTCAGTATCTCAGAATCTTTAGAATCTCAGAATCTCAGAAGCTCAGAATCTCATAATCTTAGAATATCAGAATATCCTAATCTCAGAATCTCAGAATCTCAGAATCTCAGAATCTCAGAATCTCAGAATCTCAGAATCTCAGAATCTCAGAATCTCAGAATCTCAGAATCTCAGAATCTCAGAATCTCAGAATCTCCAAATCTCAGAATCTCAGAATCTCAGAATCTTTAGAATCTTGGAATCTCAGAATTTCAGAATTCCAGAATCTCAGAATCTCAGAATCTCAGAATCTCAGAATTTCAGAATCTCAGAATCTCAGAATCTCAGAATCTCAAAAACTCAGAATCTCAGAATCTCAGAATCTCCAAATCTCAGAATCTCAGAATCTCAGAATCTTTAGAATCTTGGAATCTCAGAATCTCAGAATTCCAGAATCTTAGAATCTCAGAATCTCAGAATCTCAGAATCTCAGAATCTCAGAATCTCAGAATCTCAGAATCTCAGAATCTCAGAATCTCAGAATCTCCAAATCTCAGAATCTCAGAATCTCAGAATCTTTAGAATCTTGGAATCTCAGAATCTCAGAATCTCAGAATCTCAGAATCTCCAAATCTCAGAATCTCAGAATCTCACAATCTTTAGAATCTTGGAATCTCAGAATCTCAGAATTCCAGAATCTCAGAATCTCAGAATCTCAGAATCTCAAAAACTCAGAATCTCAGAATCTCAGAATCTCAGAATCTCAGAATCTCAGAATCTCAGAATCTCAGAATCTCAGAATCTCCAAATCTCAGAATCTCAGAATCTCAGAATCTTTAGAATCTTGGAATCTCAGAATCTCAGAATCTTTAGAATCTTGGAATCTCAGAATCTCAGAATTCCAGAATCTCAGAATCTCAGAATCTCAGAATCTCAGAATCTCAGAATCTCCAAATCTCAGAATCTCAGAATCTCAGAATCTCTAGACTCTTGGAATCTCAGAATCTCAGAATTCCAGAATCTCAGAATCTCAGAATCCCAGAATCTCAGAATCTCAGAATCCCAGAATTTCAGAATCTCAGAATCTCAGAATCTCAGAATCTCAAAATCTCAGAATCTCAGAATCTCAGAATCTCAGAATCTCAGAATCTCAGAATCTCAGAATCTCAGAATCTCAGAATCCCAGAATCTCAGAATCTCAGAATCTCAGAATCTCAGAATCTCAGAATCTCAGAATCTCAGAATCTCAGAATCTCAAAAACTCAGAATCTCAGAATCTCCAAATCTCAGAATCTCGCAAATCTCGAGACATCTCGAGAATCTCAGGAATCTTTAGAATCTTGGAATCTCAGAATCTCAGAATCTTTAGAATCGTGGAATCTCAGAATCTCAGAATTCCAGAATCTCAGAATCTCAGAATCTCAGAG